CAGAGGGGTGAGGGTGGCTCATGGAGGCAAAATGCTGCTGTGCATCGGTGAAGCTAGAGCATGCTGTGTTGAGAGGCCAACAGAAGGCTTATTCTCTTCTAAGAAGCTTTGCTGAGCCATGTGGGATTCAGATCTGGCTGGCCATATTGCAGGAGAGAGGAATGAAGGCTCTCCTTTCCCAGTGAAACCTTTGGGACGCCCTCCTCCCCCTCATCTCTGCCGGTCAAGGTTCTTGTGTTGCAGAACACCAGCTCGTGTTTATAGACAAACTCAATTCCTTCCTGGTCATACATATATCCCTGAACCACCCATATAAGGACCTTCTTTCCTTCCCCAACAAAAGACCCATATTTAGTTATTGGATCCTGTTTCATAAGCTGGAAGCAGGAGTATAACTTTTGCTTTTCAGTAATTTTTCATTCTGTGTCATCTCAGAATTACAGGGTCGTGGAATTAGGGAGGGACCATGGAGAACTGTTAATTATCTAGATGCATTCTTAACAAGTCTGGCTACTTCACATCTTGTTCTTCTGGTGGAATGTCTGTGTTGATGCAGCAGTGTTTTGACCAAGTACGGTAGGTCCCCGGCCCCGTGGGTGGAATGGTGGCTTGACCTTCACTGGCCCACCCAAGCTGTGACACTCAACTGTGTAGGTTCCTACAACCCATTGGGGGAAACCTGTCCAGTTTTGCCACTAGATGCCGCTGTTCATCTTTTTGGCTTTTACCCAAAGGTGCCTGCCTCCTTTGGAGCAGACCAGTGGGAGAAATTCCAAAGAGGTGCCATCATGTTCTCAACCAGATTAAGCTCTTTACAGCTTAGTTTTTAAATAAATATTAAGTGTCAGAGGTTTTTATGTAAAATAAACTCTCACATTCTACATATGATTGTAATAGCTTGTACTATGTCCAAATAAACAGTAGAGACTGGATTATGACTTTCAAAGCGCTTAGCATTCTTCCGGTCAGGCTGGGTTTGTGCATCTTCCTGGATGCTTCCGCTGACAAAACCATTTGCTGAGCCACGTGGGATTCAGATCTGGCTGGCCATATTGCAGGAGAGAGGAATGAAGTCTCTCCTTTCCCAGTGAAACCTTTGGGACGCCCTCCTCCCCCTCATCTCTGCCGGTCAAGGTTCTTGTGTTGCAGAACCACCAGAAAGCACCCCTGTTTAACTCACACTGAAAAGGGATTTATTGGCAAGACCTTGGGTGGTTCTGAGTTTATGGGAGGCTGGAGAATGGCACTCAGAACAGGGGCAGGAATTCAAGGAGGCTGAGTTGGCTGGAATCAGAGCCAAAGTCAGGCCCTGGAATAGTCTGGGTAGGATGTCACTGCTGTCGCCACCACTGGTGAGGACTGGACTCTGGGCGCCATCCTTGGCACAGCTGCCACTGCCATTCTTGCTGCAGTTTTTATTTAAAACTGCCCACTGTGTCTTCGTGTCACCTGCTGCAGATTCAATCAATTACCAAGTGACAGCATGCAGCAGAACTTAGTCCCCAAAAAGTCTTCATGTGCAGAGCTGCTACTCCCCTATACATTGTCACCAGCACCTACACTGTCATCAGAAGAGTGTCCTGTCACTCTGGGCCCACTCTCCTTTCATCTTTTTAAAAAAACATTTATTGTAGATTTGAGAAAGAGAGAGTGATTTTTTTGTTCCATTTATTTATGCATTCATTGGTTACTTCTTCTGTGTGCCCTGACCAGGGATCGAACATGCAGCCTTGCCATATGGGGACAATACTCTAACCAACTGAGCTACCTGGCCAGGGCTTTCTCCTTCCAACGCAACCACTGCATGGTTAGTACCTGATACAGGGAGGGCCTCCCAGAGAGCTACAGTGGCATCTACTGTGGTTGGTGGACGTTTGTGTCAAAGCAACGGATAGTATTTAATTGTCACCCAAGGATATATTCACTGATTTTAGAGACAGAGGAAGAGGGAGAGAGAAAGAAAGAGAGAAACATCGATGTGAGAGAGAAACATCAATCAGGGATGTTATCTCTGACCATGTGTACTTTAGATTAGTTTGTAAATAAGAAAGGGCTGACGCTTAGAAATCACTAGTATGTATATTAAAGAATATAAAATGGACAAAGGATTACCCACATGTGATGATGATTACTCATCATGTGTGAGACGAGACATCCTTTGTGTTTGTTTTATAGGACATTTCCATTCGTCTCTTCCCTGCCTAAGCATGCTGTCATGCTGCATACTTATTTGTAAAATTAAGATGGATTAAAGTAAACTATACAGAGGGAATTAGTAAATAAATTATGGAGTGTTATTACTATGAAATATTGTAGAGCCATTAAAATGATGGCTATAATGACTGTAAAAATCCAGGAAATGTTAATGAAATATTTAATTTAAAAGTTGGGCCCTGGCCAGATGGCATCGTCCTGTACACCAAAAAGTTATGGGTTCAATTCCTAGTTGAGGCACATAACCTGGATTGTTGGTTTGATCCCCAATTCAGGGCACTTGTGGGAGGCAACTGATTGACATTTCTCTCTCACATCGATGTTTCTCTCTCTCTCTCTCTCTCTGTCTCTCTTTCTCTATCCCTTCCTCTGTCTCTAAAATCAGTGAATGTATCCTTGGGTGACAATGAAAAAAAAAGAACACAAAAACGTCCAGACATTATGGTTACAACTATGTAAATGTTATTTACGCAGATAGCTAAAGGCAGAAGGACTATAAAGGAATAAAAGTACTTTCTGTTAAGATAGCTCCATGGTTGAATCAATACCATTTCTTCAATAATGCCTTAAAAGTTGAATGAATAAAACGTTAACATAATAAAATTGATTACTAAAATTATTTTAAAAATACAAATGTTTGGATGCTATCAAACAGCCCCCTTTTTTAATTTTTTCACTCATTTATTTATTTAAATTTATTTAATTTTTAGAGAGAGGAGAAGGGAGGGAGAAAAAGAGGGAGAGAAACATCAATGTGAGAGAGAAACATCACTCAGTTGCCTCTAGTACATGTTCTGAACAGGGACCGAACCTGTGACCTAGGCATATGCCCTGAAGGGGAATTCAACCGGTGACCTTTCATTGTGCAGGACGACGTCCAACCAAGTGAGCCATACTGGTCAGGGCCACAACAGCCCTCTTGGTCCTGGGAAGAAAACTAAAGTATCATAAAACCAGGACTGGAAACCACTGGGCTTAGAGAACACAGAGGGTTGTGTTCCTTGACTAAGAGAACAAATGTTTCCACCACTTAGACAATGATCTGAGGGGCTCTTGAGGGTCAAGGGTAGTCTCAGGTGTATTGACAGTGACAGAGGCAAAGTACTGCTGATTTGGGCTGCATAGGACTTGGAATGACTTCATTGTTGCCCTGAGCATTCTCCTGGGTCAGTTCCAAGGGCAGTGATCAAGGCAGCCACCCAGAAAGGAAACAGTGCCCATGTTAAAAGGAGGCTAAAGCAGCCTTGTGCAGACCTTCAGTCCATACCTGGGCCTTCTTATTACAGAGTTTATCAGCGTAGGAGTTGGTTTCCTCTACATCATTGCTGCTCATACTTTAAACTGCACAGGGACCAGCTGGGGGTCTTTTTAAAATGCAGATTCTGATTCAGTTGGTGTAGAGACTAAGGTTCTGCATTTTTAATAAGCTCCCAGCTGATGCCAGTGCCTCTGGTCTGCAGACCACTCTTTAAATAGCAAGGAGCCACATATCCTGGAGACTCGCTCTTCAGATTGTCCTTCAGATGTTCAGCTGTACCTTGCTGTTCAGAGTACGTGTGAGACCTGCAGTCTGAGCATCACAAAACACTGCTGAGAGGAATTAAAGAAGAGTTGCAGAAGAAGAGAAAGAGTCTGTTCTCATGAATTGGAAAATTCAATATTGTTAAAATGGTAATTTCCCCCCAGATTAATCTATAGATTCAACATGATCACAATAAAAATTCTAGCAGGTTTCTTCTTCTTCTTCTTCTTTTGGTTGTTTTTGTTTTGGGTAGAAGTTGACAAGATGATTCTAAACTTTCTATGAAAATCAAAGGTCCTAGAAGAACCAAAGCAATTTTGAGAAAGAACAAAGTTGGAAGACTGACATGACCTATATCGAGACTTACTATAAAGCTGTAGTAATCAAGACAGTGAGTTATTGAATTAAGACAGATCAATGGAACAGAATGAAGTCCAGAAAAGGACCCACATATATATGGTCAAATGCTAAATTGTGTTATGCTAACCAAGCAAAGCCAGGTACAAAGATTACATGCACTATGGTACCATTTATATAAAGTTCTAGAAGAGAAGAAACTGTGGTGACATAAAGCAGATCAGTGGTTACTGGGGCCCAAGGATAAGACCACACTGAATAAGAGGGTGATCCATTTGAATTTCAGTGGTCAGTGTAGCACCTACGAGCCTGGGCTTTCAAGTCAGGCTGTCCAGGTTCCAGCAGCCACTCTGCTACATCGGCAGGCAAGCTGTTCACCTCTTTGTACCTCGGCTTCCTCATCTGTATGAACTAATACAACGGTAGAGCTTACCTTATAGGGTCATTGTGAGGAGCAAATGAATTAATTTATTGAAAGCATCTAGAACATTTCCCTGTGCCTAATAAACTATCTTTATTGCTGCTGTTGTTGTTACTATTAACCCCCAATAATATTGTGATTTTACCTTTCTCCCAAAATGTGGCTCTTTCCTTCAACCTCTCCCTGACCTATGTGCACTGCTGTAACTTGAGGGCTTTAATGGAATTTTAGAGCTGGAAGAGACCTTGGATAATACTGAGACCAAGTATGGGTAACAAAACTGAGGCCAAGAAGGCTGAGTGGTGTGCCCAAGGTCCTGTCGGTGCGGAGCAGACCAGGAACCAGGAACCTGGCCAAGCCGACTCCCAGTTCCGCTGTGTTTGGTCAAGGATGTATATGTTATTCTCATTTTTAACGTGAACCACAGGGATTTGTCTCGAACCTGCCGCTCATCACTGTCGTTGTGTGGTGTGTGTTTTTCTGCAGAGCCGTGCAGAGCCCCAGTTGCAGAAGACTTGTCCTATCACCACCATGAGCTCTGGTAAGTCATTTAAAACCTGTTTTGTTCTGGACAAATCTACACAACTGGGCGGTTTACCCAGATTTCCTCCTTACTCTGAAGGTCCCAACTGCACTGCATTTTTTAGTTTTTGAGACCTGGGTGAGTGCCAAAGCTTTGTCATAAATTGTGATCATTGCTATCATCACATTCATTATTATGGATTCATTATCTACCACGTGACAGGAACTGTGCCACACACTCTGTATGCACATATCCTGACCTTTATAATAGCTTCCTTTCCCTCCATTTTAACAACTTTATTGAGATATAATTGGGATACAATAAACTGCAGATATTTTAAGTATACAATTCGATAAAAATTTGACATGTGTACACCCCAAAGGCTTTCTTAATCCCAGTGACGGCAGTGAAAGTAAACAGATTGACCATAATTGCCCCAGGGTGCGAGTTAATCTAACACGGCCTTCATCCTGGCTGGCAGAGCCCTTCGCTCGCCCTTTTGTGATACCTAAACAAATGACTGGTTTTGAGTGTGTTTAATGTAGAGCTGGCTTGGAAAGTATGGGCTGGGGAAGATGAGAAGGGAATGCGTTCCTGCTCGTTGTGCGGCCAAGAGCTGTCTGCTTTCCAGCCCTGAACTGGAGGATGAGATGCTTCCATCTGGGGATGAAGGTCTGCCTTAGCTACTGAGCCTGCCTGCAGCCTCCCACGACCTGGAGGCACCGGGGGTGGGGGGATGACGAGGGGATAGCTCGGTCAAGGGTGCTCTAATCCTGCGTTATTTCCAGGGTGTTACCAGAGACCTCTGTGGGTGAAAAACAAGGCTTCCCGTTTGTTTGCACAGAGTGCCCTTTAGCCAGGTCCTGAACCGATCAGGGCCACAGCTCGGCTTCCTCAGGTGCCACCTGTGTGACCTTGGGCCTGTGGTAGACCCTTCTCTGCATCCTCTGTAAAGTGGCCATCCTAAAAGTGCCAGCTCACTGGCACTGTGTGATGATTAAGTGAGGCAGTGCTTCTGGTGCACTGAGCACCCTGCCCAAGGCTTGGCCTGTGTTCCATCTGAGGGTTATCAGCCCCGGTTTCCTCCTTTCAAGGAGGACTCACTGCTCCCGGGTGTCGTCCGTGCTTCTGCTGTGCAGGAAAAGGCTGCACACGTTTCCCTTCCAGGTGGATTCAGGTAGCACCAGTAGTTCCTGCTCTGTAACTTGTTTTGTGTTTTTGTTTAACTTTTTGTCTCTGTTGTCATTTTTTTTAAACTTTTATTCTGCAGCCTAAAGTTTTTTGTTCTTCTAATATCAGAATTAGCCTAAACTGTCATTGCTGCTTACTCCCCGCACGAATAAAGGGCAGAGGAAGTAGGAAGGGAGGGGCTGAGCAGGAGGCTGAGGGTGTGGGAGTCCCTGTGGGACTTTTCCCCAGGGTCTCGCTCTCGGGTGTGGTGCTGGAGGGAGGCTTTGCACAGCCAGAGTCCAAAAAGTCTGGACCCTCTGACCTGATAATCCCACTCTTGGGAATGTCTGTCTTCATTCGAAGGTAACAAAAACATCCAAAGGAAGGTGGGGAATCAGTACGTTCGTTCTGTGTACTTACTTGATGGAATATTATGCCAATATTAAAATGATCATTGGGAAGAGAGCAGCTATGTAGAAAACATTTCTTTTAACCTCTGGCGGACTGAGCCACATGAAAATGATGCATTCTTCCTGTTACAGAACAGACCGGGGGCGGGGTATACAATATACTATTACCGAAAAGACCCCCCCCTTTTTTCTCCAGGGGTTCCCTCCATACTAAGTTCACTTTGCCTGCCACCAGAGGAAAGACATCTCTCAATGCCAGAGATTGGTGAAAAGGAAAGGAATTATTTATTTAAAAACTATACAGACTTAGAGTAATGACTTAATGTCTTCATTAAAATACTAGAGTCCTTTCGAATACCCACAAATGCACAGTCCTTCCTTCTCCCTCTGCCCAGTCCGGGGCACTGTATCTCAGGAAAAGAAGTAGAAGTGTGTGATTCAGGCTCCCGGCATCATCAGCTGTGTCGCCGCCAGGATCTCCAGTTAATACAAAACCATGTGGCACCTTCTCATGGCCCACCAGCAAAAGTCCTTTCACCCCTTTTCTTCCAGGCAAAGTCTCTCCTGCTTCCTAAGCCACATGGCAAAAAGGAGCAACCCAAAGCCACATACTCGCCCCCTACTGCCCCAGCTGCGTGGTCCTCTCCTTGGCATGGCTGCTGCATCTGGGTTTAAATCCCAGCACCATCTTCCCCTGCAGCCCCATTTCCGACTCCTCCTACAATCAGTTACACCTGCCAGCATTCCCGTATTCTTCCAGCATTACTGGAAGAATCAGCTCAGACTTGTGGGGATGAGGACATCCTATATATTTTTTTTCTAAAATTTCCTGGACACCTTGAGTTCTGGACCCCATTACAAATCCCTATTTGGGGCCCCCCTCATGGCTGCACCCTGTTATATTCTTACTCCGAGTCAGGACTGGCTGCCAGTCACTGAGGTAGGTACTTTGCATTATCTCATTTCATTCTCCTGGCAGACCCACAAAAGTGAGCATGGTTTACTTCTCCCATTCTTCAGATGGGGAAACTGAGGCCCTGAGTGGTTAATAATTTGGGATCACTGGTTAGTGAGTAGGAGCTGGGGCAAACCCATAGTGATGTTGGACATCACTGTGCTGCAGAGTTTGAGCCTAAGGGGATGGAATGATTTTGCAAAATTTCTTTAAGTTAGCTGTGTTTAATTAATAGAAGGAAAAAAAGGAGAGGAAAGACATGGAGCTAGACCTGGTGGAAGCTCAGAGGCTGCTCTGATGCTGGCTTGAGGGACCCAAAGCCAAGTCTACAGTCCTAGAAAGAAGACAGCCAAGAAAAATTGGACAGTTGTGTGGGGAAAGGGATAGTCAAAGGACAGGTGGGGTGATAGAACCTGTGATGTTTCTTTTACTTGGATTTCTGGCCTTATTGCCACACCCTCCTTTCACCCACCCCAGTAACGGAGGTGCAAGGGAGACGTTGGCCTCTAGGGAAACTGGCCTTCATCCGTGGGTGGGTCAAAGGCAGTAAACAGAACGGAGCCTGGGTGGTCTGTCCAGGCTGCTGGTAGGAGGAGCAGTGGGCCCTGCCCCTGTCCGCATCCAGGAGCATCCAGGCTGGCCTGTGAGGGTAGTTTGTGTTGGGGAGGCTGATTGTTAAGGACTAGGTGGGGTGACCTTGTCTCAGTCAAGCGAGCTGCTGGGGTTTGGGACAGGGCTTCAGCGCTAGCATTTGGGGAAGTAGCTAGCATTTGGGGAAGTAGGAGATATATCAACCTGACGTATTCTATAGAATATATATATAATACAGAATGTATCTGGTTAATATACGTATACATAAACCATTTTATATAGAATATATCTGACATATATGTATACAAAATATTTTTAATTTTAAAAATAAAAAGTGTTTTCCCTGACCAGTGTGGTTCAGTTGGTTGGGCATCATCCCGCAGAGCAGAAAGTCGCTGTTTCAATTCCAGCTCCATTCCTGGTTCTGTCCCTGGCTGGGGTGTGAGAGGCAAGCGATTGATGTTTCTCTTACACATCCATGCTTCTCTCCCTCACTTTCTCCCTCTCTTCCCCTCTCTCTAAAAATAAATAAAATCTTTTTTAAAAAGTGTTTATCCCAGTCAGAGATGAACAAGACAGCCTGTGGATGGAACAGACCAGAATTCAAATCCCAGCTTCATGATCTTAGAGCCTGGCATCTTCTCTGAGCCTCAGATTTTTCTTTATTAAATAGCAATTCCTAATACTGAACTCCAGAGCCCCGAGTCTTAGGGACAAAATGAGATGCTAATTATGGAATGCTTAGCATAGCTCCTCAGATCCAGCCACAGAGACGTTTAAAAGACCATAGCTGTTATGATTGGTTGGCTTTTGGCTGTTAAGGGTCACTCCAAGCACACCGGTCACATGCTCTTGGGTGGCAGGGTCTGCCCACCCACCTGTCTTCTCTTTCCCGCCTCCGTCAATTCTGGGTGGGACAAAGGTGAGCAGCGAGGACCTCAGTGTCTGCAGCTGAGCAGGATTCAGACAGGTCTCAGCGGACACAGATAAGGTGGCATTGCCTACAGGATACGTAGGGTTTCCACAAGGTAAACAAAGGGGAGGGCACATTCTCAAGCCAGAGCCTCGAAGGAACAGGCCTACTGGTCTAAAAGTACCTGACAGGCCGTGAGAGGAGGTGAGTGTGTCCGGCAGGGGGAGGGGGACAATGCAGCTGGAAGAGAGCTGGGACCAGTGGTTGAAGAGCCTCCAGTCCAGGGTGAATGTCCCCAGGCTTTGTCCCGTAGGTGTCTGCTGGCCTTTGGGGCTCGTTGGTTTGCTTTTAATTATCAAGAAGGCCAATTCATTAATTTAAATACAACCAGGTATGCCAAGATACAGGTCATCCCACTTACTACAAAACTGTATTCCAAACAATCATTGGTACATTTTTGGGAACTTGGAATACATTTATTTTCAAGCAAATAGTATAAATAAATGGTTGAATTCCCAGACTAAACCCCAACATTTTTACTTTTAAAACGGAGGTGAGCACTGGCTGGTGTGGCCCAGTGGATTGAATGCTGGTCTGCAAACCAAAGGGTCACTGGTTCAATTCCCAGTCTAGGGCACAAGCCTGGGCTGCTGGCCAGGTGCCCCCAGTGGCGGGGGGGTGCAAGAGGCAACCACACATTGATGTTTCTCTCCCTCTCTTCCCATCTCTAAAAATAAATAAATACAATCTTTTAAAAATAATAAAAGAAAATAAAACAGAGGGGAAATACAGCAAGGTTAAAGTGGAAGGATTTTAGAAAATCCTACTGTGTTGTTCTGTTTGGTTTTCATCTGTCCTGCACCCTGGGGCTTGTCGGCCCAGGACTGTGGGTAGGTCCAGGTCTAGAAAGTGTTCTCCGGTGCAGGCTGAGGAGTGGGGACGAGGAGGGGCAGAATGGAAGCAGGGAGAACGGTCAGGGGGTCATGTCATCTCTGGGACAATAACACAAAGGCCTCAGCTAGGACAGTGGGCGGGTGAGGAGGGCAGTGTCCAGGGAGCGACAGCATGGTTTTGCTGATGACTGGACATAGGATGGGGCAAAGAAAAGGGTCACGGAGCCTGAGCTTTCAGTTGCCCGACTCTCAGTCTGATTGCACGGCGGTGCGTGTGAGCTGGACTTTGAATGGGCAGATAAGCCTTTGTCAGGCAGGAGACGCCATTTTGAGGGAATTAAGCAGATTTTTTTAAATGTCCAAAATGAAGCCATAGCAAGAAGGCAGGAGAATTTATATCACCCACCACATACTTCCATCCCCAAACAGCTTTGCCTTCTCTCCTGCTTCAGGCCGCACACGGCTCTCAGAATTCTCCCAAGACGCCGGAGGGGCCCGTGCCCAGGCCTGCGGAAGCCTGCGTGTCCCCAGCGCCTCACACTGTGTGGGACTCAGTATCTGCTGGGGAGGGAGACCTCATCTTCAGCCTCGTGCCTTTTGTCTTTCTTTCAGAATGTGACGTTGGCGCCTCTAAAGCCGTGGTGAACGGGTTGGCACCAGGCAGCAATGGACAGGACAAAGGTAAGGCTTTGAAAGGGAAGCCCGGCTTGGTACTGGAAAACGTTTCTAGGAGGAGCAGAGGATGTTCGGTGGGCCTGGACCACTCGCCTGGTGGGACTGGTCACTGGTCCTATCGGGCCTTGAGTGGGACACCCATTTCCCAGACTGACTTTCGGAAAAAGTGAGCATGTTCTTGCATCTCAGGAATCAGAGGTGACTTACTGAAAACGGTCCCCAGCTCCCAAACACACAGGCCGAGGCGTACCTCATGCCTCATGCATGTGGCGTTTTTCAGCCTGAAATTTCCCTTACCCGGCATTTCACCTTCACAGCCTTGACCCTGAGACAAGAGCCTGAATTGCTGAAGTAAATGATTCCAGTGGCATTAGTTTTATACACATCCTTTCATCTTTTCAGTTTTTAAAAGCTTTAGGATGAAAAACTTAAGTGTGACATGAATGACGGATAAGATGACCTTTGAGGTCCCATTTGCCCTGTGGTCTCTCATCCGGGTGTCTCGAGGCTGACCAGAGAGCTAAGTGCCCACGTCACTTCTGCAGTGTGGTGTGAGTTGGGGTGACAAGATGCAGGTTCAAGTCCCAGTTCTGCCACTCACATGCATCCCTAGGAGGCCTTTGTCCTCATGAGTGTGAACTCCCATTTCTAGAAAACAGAGGAATTGCACGATCTGCAGTATTATTCCTGCTTCAGATTCTGGGTTCCAGGGACTCTCTCTGCCTCCATCCCACTGCATGTTGTGGTACCAAAGAGGGAGGGCCAAAGTCCTATCATTGGGTATTTATTTAAGTAATTTCAGAGTTTGCAATGTTGGGCTTTTGTACTTTTTATCTGGTTTTGCCAAGTATCCCTTTTGATACAAGGCCAAGGGTAAAGTTGGAGAGCTGAACAGGGGAGGCATAGAGAGCAGAAGGGACGGGGCACAGGGGTGGCTGGGTTGGGGCATGTTCCTTACCTCCCTGCCCGCTGCCCTTCTCCACTCGTGGTACAGGGCTGTGTTCTTGGGGTCCTGGACGATCTCAGCTAAGTTGCACGTAGGGATGTTGAAGGTGCCTGTGGAGTGGCTCCAGGGGAGGGTTTAATCATCCAATGAGGAGCACAGGAGAGGTTGGGACTCTGGTGCTTTTAACACCTGTGGGGCCATCGACACCATCCCTATGAATTCACTGAAAGAAGAGACTTCAGGGGTGCAGGGCGAGGGTGGCAGATGGAGGCCAATTCCACCCTCTCTTCAGTAAGACTCACTTTTGGGTGGAGAGAGGAGGCAGATGTAACCTGAAGGTCATCGTGGTGGCCTGAGTTGGCCGCTGAACCCAGGGCCAGCCCAGCTGAGCTCTAGTCTCAGCCTCTTCCCCTGGGAGCTAGGGGAGTCTGAGCAGCTCTCTGAGCCTCCTGCTTCTTCTTCTGAAAATGGTAGCATAACAAAACCCTCCCACTCAGCCAATCTCCCAGCTGGTCATAAAGAGCAGTCCACAGGGTTGTCGTAAAAGCACGTTTGTATCTCCAGACAGGTAGCATTGATATGATCAACTCAGTTACTGACAGCCACACGATTGCTGTGTGCCCTATGAAATAGCAGCATGAGGGACTGCAAGGTGAACCAGCTATTGCGGAGGCTCCTCCCTGCCTCCTGTCCCCTCGATGGGCTTGTCAGCACAATGCTAATTCATCAGTGACCATCTTGCTTCCTAAACAGCCCTGCTCCCCCCGCCCCTCCCCCAGTTATTACATGGATCTGAGGCCAAAAGACCTCCGAGTGTTGCTCATTGGAGTGGCGTTGGCACACAGCACCTGAGCTCGCATCTCTCTTTATTTGTTGCCATTGGAGAGACAGCAGCCCTTGCCACATTCCAGGAAAGTTACCCCAGCTCTCTGGAAGCTCAGTTGGGTGTCAGGACCTTGGGCTGCACATGTGGGTGCTCAGAGAGGAGCAGGCACAGGACCCCAGAAGTTAAGATTCTGGGGAAGCAGCTGCGATGACCCTCACAGATGCGTCCCTTCCCTTCCTCCACTCCCCTGGGGCCTGAGCCATGGCTCTCCTTCCTGGAGCCCTCCCCCCAGCACAGACACCCCAACATTCTTTGGGAGCCACTTTGGTCCTGATTGCTCTCCCCTTCCTCTGTTTGCCAGGCCATCTGCGTCTCTAAATCTTGGCAAGTTCCTGGTGTGGCAGGAGGCACAGACACTGACCAACTGCATGTGGGTGACGGTTGGAGGGAGGGTTCTGTCGTCCTGGCACCGAACTCTAAACAGAGAAAGCAGGTTAATTCAAATTACTGTGTCTACTGCTCTTTCTAGTGTTCGCTTCATGTGGGCAACTTCCTCCTATTGTCCTTGCCCAGTTCCTCAACTGCCTGAGTGTTTCCCGAATGTTCTTTCTGGAGGCACCATTTACCCTTTTGTGTTTGCAGCAGCTGCCGACCCTTTACGCGCACGCTCTATTTCCGCTGTTAAAATAATTCCTGTGAAGACAGTGAAAAGCTCTTCAGGCCTAGTATTCCCTCCAGGTACCTCTCCTTGGGTTGGTTTCTTTTTTTTAATTGTTAGCAGATCATGCATGGTTTTGCTTCCTTCTTTCCATCTAACAAAGACTTGGAGGCTTAATCCTTGCATGTTTAGGAGCCATTTCCTCTCACTTCCTCGGGTGGTTTCTTTTCTTCTTCGGGGGGTATGTGTGTGTGTGTGTGTGTGTGTGTGTTCCTGTGAGCCAGCCAGCCTGGAGACAAACTGACAGATACCTGGCCCCCCGCCTCTCGTTAGGACAGGGGTCAGCCCAGAGGCTAAACATTTAATCTGGTATGGGTCTGAGGTACATGGGCTTCTTGGGCTCTCCCTAGAAGTTTCCAGCTTCCAGTACTTCATTTAGAATTCCAGTCTCCCCGAGAATTAATGTGGCCGCCCAGGGAACCTCTGAATTGGGCTGAACTTGAAGCAGCTGCCAAACCTAGATAGCTGTACCTCCGTGAAGCTCGCTGGGCCGTTTCTCAGAGCACTCCCTCCCGACCCGACCTTCACCTGCAGCCACTTCCTGCTTCTCCTCTGCAAGAAGGGATAAGGTTCAGGTGTCAGCTCCAGCTCATAGCTGCCTTCTGTACGAAGCAGGACAAGTGTGGCCCGGGTGACCCTTTGTCCCAGTGGTGCTTTTAGGAGGTGGGCAAGTCTGGCCGTGCATTCAGAGACCCATGAGTGGGCTGGATTTGTCACCTTGCCCCTCTTCCTTGTGAGAAGGCCGTGAGCTATGGATCAGTTTTCCCAGCTGTTTTGTGACGTCAGTCACTCATCCTTTTGATAGGGTTGGACGAGTCAGAGGCTCAGCCCGCTCTGCCACACATTGTGCTTTCATGCTTCGTGTTCGGTGGGGCAGATCTGTGCTTTTCTGTAACAGGGAGGACTGCTCTAAGTTGTTGGAAAGGAGGCTGCTAGGGTGGAAAGAAGGAGCAAAGGGGCCTTGCTTCTCTCCACCTGGCCCAGGTGTGGGGATGCGTTGGACGTCTGAGCCCGCGTCCTGTCCCACGTCCACCTCACACTTTACCCCACAACCCAGGCTTGGTGATTTTAGGTCAAAGATCCCGGCTGTGCTGCGAGCAATTTGAAAAAATGAACTGTGGAATTCAGTTCAGCTCAGCTGCGCAGAAACACTTAGCACGTGTGCCTTCCAGGACTGTGTGGTCTGCATCGGCTTCTTGCCTCCTGTGACTGATTTCCTGGAGGATGAGCATGAGCTCTTTTGAAGCCTATTTTTAAATCCTTCTCGGTGGAATTCCGAAAGGTGACCTGGGTCTGTTATTAAGCCACTGTCAACTGCAGGAGAGGTCAGGATGCAGGGACGGCTCCGCTGGGGTGCGGCGAATACTGTTCGTGGAAGGGTGTAGTGTTTCTGGCCATTCTCTTTGGTGTGACTTTTCTTCATTAAGTTTGGAATGTGAGGCTCTCTCACTCACATGCTCTCTCCCCAGGCAGCACGTCCCGCCTCGTCGTTTCAGTGGCTTTGACTTGCTGATACAGACTTTCTTTTCCTTTTCCCCTTGGAGAAGTGCGAGAAGCAGTGCTGTTCCTGATATTGCCAGCTTGGTCTTTTATAAGACAGCTCATCTGGAAGCTTGAGAAGTCTGTCCTAAATCCTTTCTTGAACTGTGCCTTACTAATTGGTCAGATGCCTGTTCACCAAGCTAAACTTCATTTAATAAAAGAAATAAACCCACTTTCATTTTGAAATGTTTTCAGCTGATATTACAACTCATACATTTACTCAGAACTCACAGTAGCCTCCGTTTTCCCTAACCTCATGATGGGCGGTAAACCTCTGAAAATGTGGTTTGTTCCTCTCCACCACCCACAGATTTATCTGCATTCGCCATAAGACTGTGTGTGGCTCTAACCAGGTTCATCTCATTCCCCAGCTTTAACAAGTTGCTAGCTGACTGTTGCTTAATTCATTAGGAGCCTTGGATTCAGGGCTCTTTTTTGGATGTTTCCCTTTCAGATATGGATCCTACAAAAGTCTGCACTGGGAAGGGAGCCGTGACTCTCCGGGCCTCGTCCTCCTACAGGGACACCCCAAGCAGTAGCCCTGTGAGCCCTCAGGAAGCCCCACAACAGGAAAGTAAACCAGGTGCGCTACCCCTGCAGCTAGGGGCAGGTGGCCAAAGCCACATGGGAAGGGCATGGATTCGTCAGCTGCTTCTTGATTCTCCCAGGGGCCCCTGGGTCAGTCAGCTCCTTGTTCCATCTGTGATGGGTGGCAATCGATGCCCTGAACTGACAGGTACTCACTTGATTCAGGCAAAGACACAGCAGCAACCACCACTTTAGTTCAGCTTTTGATGGAACAGTCGAGCAGAAACTTTGCTACAGGGTTGGTGGCTTTGCAGACCGTGCTGGTGAACACAAAGATGGCTTGGGGGCGTGAAAAGGGACTGGGGAGATGGGCTAGTGGTTAGGTGTCTCTGAGGACCAGGCAGGGCTGGGGCTGGGAAGCAGCCAGGGGACACTGAGAAGTGCCGGCAGCTGGCTGACCTGGCTCCCAGGAAAGCGGGGGTGCGGCAGGCTTGGGCCTGGGGGAATGACCTGGCAGCCGAGGAAGTAGGTTCAAAGTGCAGTTCTGAGGCCAGTGCAAACCAGGAGCAAAGGGAGGTGAAAGAAGTCCACCTGAAGCCCACCTTCCCACCCTGACCCCTCCCTTCGGAAGCCTGAGCGTCTAGACATGGTGTTGAAGTTTAAACCTAGGACTTTGGAACCTGATAGATCTGTGTTCAAGTCCTTCACTACCTGTTGGCTGTGCCACCTTGGATGAGGCATTTAGTCTCTCAGCCCTAGTAACCTCATTGGTAGGATGGGATTGATTACTGCACCTGCCTCATGGCATTACTGTGAGGATGAAATTCGGCAAGTGTTGTGCACCACACCTGGAGCGAGCTGCATTTGTTGCACCAGCAGAGTCAGGCGTGGGCCCCTCATGCGCTGCCTTGGGGAGTGCTTTCTGACCTTGGGTAAGTCACACCTTTGAAGCACATTTAAAGTCTGAGGGACTTGGGCAAGATGGTTTCCAAGCTTGTTCTAAAGTGCTCTGTAATTTTGGAAGATGTGATTATTTCAGCCTCTCTGGAGAGGGCTCTCCACAGCCCAAGTGTCCCGGGAGCTGGGAAGCGCTGACCTAGAGGTTCTACAGGCTCTGCTAGTACAGGGTGGGGCAGCCCCTCCCCACTCTGTAGGGCAGTGTGCATGGTTCTCACACTTGAGTTGCATCAGAATCACCTGGAGTAAAAACACAGGTTGCTGGGCCCCCAGGGCAGAGCTTCAGAACTTATGATTCCCACTTATAGGCCCGGGGTGGCGTCGGAGGTTTTGCATTTCTGACAGGTTCCCAGGTCATACTGATGATGCTGGTGCCAGGACCACATTTGAGAGCTGTAGAGTATGGAAGTTGCCTTCTAGAAGGAAGGCAATGCAGGGAGAAAAGATCAGGATGATGACTGCTCCCTAGGGAGCAGAGAGGAAAGGGCGTCGGGCATGAAAGCTTGTCGGTACAGTGGGGAGCAGTATGTTGTGGGAAGGGAATTGTATGGGATGGCGACAGTCAGTGCCCAGCATCCTGGGAACTGACTTCCCTTCTGTGCCAGCCACCTATAACAGGTGTCCAGGCAGGTGTCCAGGGACGAGGCCAGGCTGGGGTTTGAGCACAAGCCCCATTCTGGTCATGCTGGTCCCTGTGGAGAGCTTTCTCCCTCGGCTCAGGGAAGGAGTGAGTAGCCTCCGGCACCGAAACTCAAAAGTCGCTTCTTGGCCCTGGATTTCTGGGCCCACACCTCACGCTTGCCCCACTGCCGCTTGCCAGCTTCTTCTCCAGGAAAGGTGGGCCAAGCAGTGAAGGCAAAATAATTTCTCCCTAAAACAGTCTAACTGTTCCTCAGGCCTAACTGGGAATATCCAGCTGCCAAGCTGGAGGACGTTTGAGGAAGAGAGAATCCCAAGTGATGGTTAAAGAGAAAAACCATCCTACAGCCCAATGGCTCAATAAAATGACCTATCAATCACCTGGTCCTTTCTCTGGTGGTGAAGGAGAGGATGGGACGTGAGGGGGCCTTGAGCGCCCCCTGGTGGGCATAGTGTGGCATCATCAGAATGTAAATGCTCCTCTATCCTGCGGTCTGTAGTAGGCTTTTGCTACAGCACTGTGCAGTTATTTGAGGCACTTTAGGAAGCTCCCTCTGGCCCTGAAATCATTCTATATCTTATAAGTTTCTAACAGGTAATTTGTGTGAAAAAAAATCATGTTTAAACATGCAAATACTCTGAATAATTAGGGGATAACAATCCGTCATTTACACCTTCCAATAAATTAATCTTAATAGATGATTTTCACCCTGTAAGTTGAGATCAACTGAATCCAGATTATTCATTCAGACATTTATGTAGCATCATTTCTGTGCCAGGCACTAAGTGAGTCTAGGGGATTGTGATGAGAAGTGGGGAGGGGGGAGGAGAAGGGAGAGTAGTTCTGGGAGCATTAGGCGAGGACAGAGTGCAGCTTATTGCGGTAGCAGAGCTGTGCACGAGCCCCTGGCCCACCCCTGTGCTTTCTGACCATGGCTAAGTGACACGTTTCAGGCTCATATGAAGTATGAGGGACTTGGGTAAGCTGGCTTCCAAGCCATTCTAGTTCCAAAGGAGCAAGCTTGGTTTGCATAGAGGGGAAAAAGCCCCATCCTGAGTAAGGGTGCACAGTGGGCTGAATGAGTTGACACTGCGGGGGAGGTTCCAGGGATGTGACTCTAGAGGTTGGACCTTCGGGATCTTGTCCTCGAATCCTACTGCTCGCTGACCAGCGTCCTGCTGCCTCTTGACTCTGGCTGTGTCCTCGTGGCTCCCTGGCCCCTGCTCATCCCTGTCTGCCCCCTCCATCGGAGCCTCTGGATGACATCTTCCTGGCCCACACCAGTCTCCAGTCCTGTCCTGGTCACCCCTGGGCCCAGACCAGCCTCGTGAAAACAGTTTTCAGCAGTGCTGACAGGCAGCCATGCCCCAGCTGGACTGGGGGCCCAAGTGTGAGGCAGTGAGTCCCCCCACTCCCAGCATCTGCACAGATAGCTAATGTCAGGCAGTGTCCTGCTCCCCGCCCCCCACCATCCACCCCTGCATCAGCGGGGCCAGCATCTGTTCCCCGTCCACTCAGTCTGCCCCGCTGCCTTGCTCCCTGCCTTTACCACCTTCTTCCTCCATTCCTACAGCTCTCCAAGTTGCCTGTAGACTGGAAGCTCCAGCTTCCCACACTGTGTCCTGATTTCTTTCCTTAAATGGACCTCTGACACCCACATTTCAGAGACACCCCCTATTTCCAACCCTCTCATCCTTCATCCTGGGAAACATGTTCTCATTCCTGAGTCATACAGTCCTCCATCAAGGCTCCGCTCTGCCACCACTATCTTTGTAATATCAGCAAATTACTCAGCCTTAGAGAGCGTCAATTTTCTCAATTATAAAACAGGGATGCTCTTAATAGAGTTTTTGGGATTCAATGAGCTCTTTCATATCAACATCTAACACAGAGCCTGGCAGACAGCAGGTGCTCTTCAATGGTAACCATTCTAGTTACTGCAGACCGGGAGGTTCCCCAAAGGTTTCCCATACTTTCAGTCAGAGGCCCTGAGGGCCTGGGCCTGGCATGCTGGTGGCAGGAATGAAGACCAGGGGCCAAGGCTGCATGGACTCGGGGGAGGGAAATGGCAGGGCTCAGCACAGCACACCTCAGGAGCGTGGAGGGTGGGCTCCATGCTGACCAGGAGAGCGGCTGGCACTCATGGACGTGAGGGAAGGTGAAGGAATGGTGAATTCCTTTTTTTTTTTTTTTTTTGACATGTTGAGTTTTTTGGCAAGGGAAGGACTTCTGGGAGGAAGTTTCTAATAGGCATTTGGAAATTTGGAGTCTAGATATGCATCTGGTAGCCACTTGCAACCAAATGAACAAAGGGAGGGTGGAGCTGCTCTCAGAGGTTCAGTGGCAGATGGAGCTTTTGGAATTGCCTGGTTTAAACTCCCTGTCCAGACTCTTGCTCTCACATGGTGGCTTGCCTCTGGATCCCTGGCCGTGGTTTTCTGACCAGCTTCTAATCTCTGACTGTGGACCTTAGTTTTTGGAATAGAACCATCTGGAGAGAATTTAGTGCAGTAATCTTAGTGCTGACTCCCTGCCCCTGGGAGAGGTGTTACCTTATCCCTGCTTCCTGACACGGTTGCATGGCCAGGTCTGGGTGTTGGCCTGTTGGTCCAGAGTGACCCTACCCATGTCCCCAGGTCAGGAGTTTTTACTCCAGAGGAGACAGGGAGCCTGGAATGGTGGGGGGTGTGATGCCAAGCTTCCTGTCCTGTGTAGCCTGAAGACCATCAATGTCTGTGTTTTGACTCACAAGCCAAAACCCAGTTCAACTCTTACATTTCGTTAATTATGTGCCAGTTGGTGCTACTCCTTTTGCTTGATTCTGGAGGACCAAGTTTGCTTTGGATGTAAAGATTCTTGGGCCTGCAGTCAACTCATTAACTCTAGTTGGAGTCTCACATTTGCTCTCCAGAAATGGCAGTAGTAGCAAAAAAGATGTCATGAGAAAATTAACACCAGGATAGTGAAAGACACCTCCTACCCACACTAACCTGCACTAACTTTCTGTGAGCCCACGTGTGAGAACTGGAGCCAACTGAGGAGATGGAGGGAAAAGTCCCTGTGAGAGAACACCGTCGCTTCTGATGCCAGCTCCAAGGTTAGGGGGTTCCGCAAGCCATCCTCAGTTTTCATAGTCTTCTAGAAGGCCTCAGAGAACTCACTGGAAGCTATTACACTCGTGGGTATGGTTTATTACAGGTTAAAATCAGCCGGGAGAAGAACCACAGTTTCCAGTGTCCTCTCCTGTGGAGTCAGGACATGCAGTTACTACCATTTAGGTGCTACAGTTACTCAGACTGTTCGAGCAAGAAGCTTACCTGAGCCGTTGTGTCCTGAGGTTTTACTGAGACTCCATCATGTAGGCATTACCCACTGCCCATGTGGCCGACACCCTAAGGCACATTATTGGTGTGATACAGAGACATGCCCGTCAGGTGACATCCAGGGCTTTAGAGATCAGCTCCCAGAAGCCAGAGGGCAACGCCAGACATCTTTCTGGGGAAGGTTAAGTCCTTCACCACACAGCATGAAGAAGAAATACACATAAGTAGAGAGTTTTAAAACACTCCTAGAGCTGCTTTTAACCCCTCTCATCTGTTGGGACACTCTCCCAGAACACATCAAATCTCTCAGAGAAAGTTATCCTAAGATTCCAAGAAGAAACTGACCAGCAAAACAATTTAGAACAGACCAAAATGACATTAGCACAGAATAACACACAAGAAAATACTAGGGGGCTGTGGCCACAGGCCAGACAAGGTGGTGTATAAAGAACAGATGGAGGAAAAGATAAGGTGAAAGAAATCTACTTCTCCTGGGAAGGCTCGGGTCTCTTCAGGGCTGCAGAACCTACCTAAGATCCAACTTTCCAGGGCCCTCTTCCCCTCAGGAGCTCCAGTTGACATTTGTTGTAAGAAGCATTTTGACAATCTCCTCGCCCAGAGTTAATAATTGATGGCTCCGTGTATAAGATCCCACATGCTGTTTCAGGCACACAGTGACCCTGCACTGCTACCACCCTTCCAGGCTGAGAAGACTAGGTAACAGATGAAGGGTGATGGAACATTGGACACACCGCCCCCCTTTAAAGGGAGAGGGGAATGCTTAGAAGGGTCCCGGGAACTAATAAGGGCAGGGTAAGGGGAACAGTTTTAATGACTTGGAATTAGGAGGGAAAAGTAGGTTGATCCCTAAGGATATTATGTTCTTGAAACTGTTTATCAAATGGCAGAAGTCAGCAACTCTCATTTATTTCTGTCTGGGGAAATTTTTTTTCTTATGCTTTGGATTCATTGTTTACTAAGCACATACTTTATGCCACTCATTTCCACTGGATCCTCGTGACTCAAAAGAGATAGATAAGATCTCTTTTATAAATGAGACTAAGTCATTTGCCTCAGGATATGCAATTAGAAGGATAGTCAGCATTTAAATTTGGCGGTCTGGGGCTGACATGGTGGTCCCTTTGGTACCTAGACCTTTGGAGGGACAGACTCATCTCAGTTCTCCATAACCTATCTGTTTATCAGTGTCACCTGAGTAGCCAACCCCACTGAGAACCAAAGAGGAAGCAAAATAAGGTGTCCCAAAATCCATGTACAAAGCTCACATCCTTTATTGAATAGTTCCTCACTCAGCACCTATTGACATTCTAGTATATTTGTAAATCTAATAGATTTGATAGAAAGATCTCACAAAGGTGAATTAGAAATAACTTTTTCTAATGAGAAATGAGAGCCATCGTCACCACATGTCACCTGGTGTTTCGGGACCTGTTAGGTATGAGGAAATCTCTGGGCCAGGGCTCTGGGCAGATGCAGCAGAGAGTGTCACTTAGACACTTAGAAAATGGTCACTTAGAGGATACTTCACATGCCTGCTCTCTGGATCTTCAGCAGCCCTGTGAGGTGTACATGGAGTAAGGGTTATATGTTACAGATGGAAGTGATGAACAGCCCTTGCCCTTGGTCACACAAGCTGTCCACTGCAGTGATGTGAATACAAATCAAGTCCTATAAATGTCCCAACTTACGTGGTTGGGAAGAGAAGACAAGCACCTGTGAATTGTCCATAAGGGAAGGGCAGAAATGTAACAGACGGCCTGCTAAAGGAATATGCACCTGAAACATGTAAAAATTGTGACTTATGGGGGGGGAAATAAGCAAAAATAAATACAGTTAGTTTTCCAGAATAAGAATGTTTTCAAGTATTGCTTGTATCAGTGGTTCTCAGAGTGTGGGCTGTGGATCATCAGCCTGAGCATCGTCCGGGAGCCTGTTAAAAATGCAAATTTTCAGACCTAACCTATCACTGAGTTGGGAGAAACCTGGGGGTGAAGCCCAGCGGTCCGATTTCACAAGCCTCCCTGTGATTCTGATGCAGCTCTGCCACCTTGTGGCGCCCACCACCTCCCTGAAATGTAGGCTCTCCTTGGTGGCCGATGGTGGCTGTGGATGGTGGACAGCGCACTGTACGTCATTCTAAAGACCGGGGCTGACTGCTCAGTTGTTTCCCAGCTGGGTGACTTTGGGCACGTCAGTTGGCTTTTCTGTTTCCTCATCCATGAAGTGAAATGATTACCTGTGTCACAGACTTGTGCACCTAAATGAAATACTAAATTGGAGCACAGGTGACTGACCGTGTCTGGCACTTAGAAAGGTATTCAATAAACGTTTGTAAATCTCAGCTTGACCTCTGGAAGGCCCCTCGCGAGTCCTTGGGGGACACACACTGAAATGGGGCCGTGGGCTGTGAGAGCTGCTGGGTCACTCCCTCCCTGCCTCTGTGCAGGGTGAGACAGGAGGAGGCACGCAGGGAGAGGGAGGTGAAGGCATTGGCCAGATCAGGGGTTGGCAAACTTGACCCGTGGGCCAGAGGCAGCAGTGCCTGTTTTTGCACAGCCCATGAACTATGAATGACTTTTACATTTTTAAATGGTTGAAAGAGAAGTCAAAACAATATTATATGCCACATGAGAATTCTTTGAAATTCAGATCTGTGTCCATAAGTAAAGGTGTATTGGAATATAGCCATTCGCTGTATTGAATGTATTGGAACACTCACTCATATACACAGCATCTATGTCTGCTCTTGCGCAGCAACAGAAGAGTTGCATGGTCTCCACTGAGATCATGTGGCCGCAGAACCTAAAACATTTACTGCCTGGCTCATTATAGAAAAAGCTGGCCGACCCCTGGGCTAGATGGAGGATAGAGAATGGAGACGAGAGATGATGCAGAAGATCATAAGAGCAGACATTTACTGAGCTCTGCCAGGCACTGGGCTAAGTGTTTCTTATGCGTTATATCATTTAATTCTTATAGCAATACGTATGAAGCAGGCATCCCATTCTCCCCACTCTTCAGATGGAGAAACTGAGGCTTATAACTCGCTCAGGGACACAGAGTCCATGGATGGTGGAGTTAGGATTTGAATTGAGGTCCGCCTGCCTTCCCAGGCAAGCTAATAACTATGTTGCCTGGTGGTGTTAAATGTTTATGTGACTCATTTAACAGAAAGAAGAAAAGCAGCCGGGGAGAAAAAGTGTTCTTACCACCTCAGATACCTCTGGGCTGAAATGTTCTCTCACTAGCCCAGCACCAAAACCGAGGGAAAAAGTGCTGATCTCTTCTCCCTCCGCTGGGTCTGTTAATTAGCCCAGCCTGCTAATGAGGAGGGGTCATGCTGAGCCCCCGTCAGGCATGAAGAAGGGGAAGGAGAGTTAGTGAGGAGGCACTGGACAGTGAAGTTCTGTTGCTGTTTAGTCTGTAAAATAAGAATGTCAAGGAACAATTGTTTCTTCATTGCTGTGAATGCGAGCCTTGTGTTTTCAAAGGTCAGCGCCTGTGAGCACATCATGGTTTGGAGTGGGTTCCTATGGTAATTGGGCCATCGTGACTGAGGGCATTTTGTGTCAGGCAGTGGGGTGCTGGACTTGCATCTTTCTGTGGGGCGCATGCTTGTTTCCTGCAAATGTAATCACTGCTGTCGCCCCCACCCCTTTTTCTTTCTTGTTTTCATCCTTCCTGCACCACACATAGTTCTGGAGTCAGAGAGCCCCTCCGCAGGTATGGTTTCCCTTGCATTCCTCCCGTCCCTGCCTTCCACCAGGGGCCCCTCAACCAGAGGGGAGCCAGGGAGTGTTCCTTGGGAGTGAGGGTTTTTCGTTTTCTCTTTTCCGTCTCAGATGAGTGGAGGCCTTCTTCCAATGCCGATGCCAACGGAAACGCCCAGCCCTCTTCACTTGCTGCCAAGGGCTACAGAAGTGTGCATCCCAACCTTCCTTCCGACAAGCCCCAGGTAGGCATGTGCCCCAGGGCGGGGTGGGGACTGCTGGGCGGCACCTGTTCTTAAGTGTTTTTGCTTCAGTTCAGGCTTCCAGCTTGCTCAGCTGGGTAATGGGCTGGGCTGAGAGTTGCGCTGGTGGCCAGCTCTGGAAAAGCTCTGCAGGAGTCAGCGAGGCTGAGGGAGGCAGAGGCACGGGGTGAAGCTGGCGTGTACCAGGGTATTGGAAATATGGGCCCAGTGTTTGACCATGTTTCAGTGTGTTTGGGAATGTTCTGGAAGAGAGAATCATTTGGCTTTGAATAGTGGGGAAAAGTTCTGAACTTGTCTGTTAAAAACTCTTTAGAGTGTAATATTCAAAGGGAGCATGAACTCTCGGGTTTATTCCATTAATTTGCTGTGGTCAGGGCTGTAAGAGTTCCAGCAACTCTGTCTTTACAGATTAAGTTCGGGTGGCTGTGGCCAGACCCTCGTCCCTTGTCCCTAGGCAGCTATTGTGGGGATGACAATACAGTGGAGCTTAAACCACCTAGGCCTCCTTACAAAAAACAAAAACAAAAAAACCCCCCAAAACTCCAAGGTGTACAACTTGGAGTAGGGATCATTTTGCTTCAGCCTTTCCCCCAGGTTGTTTTCCTGATCTTTCTGTCCTCCCCGGCCCGTGGCTGCTTTGCCATTTTGGTGAACGGAGCAGACCGGGCTTTAATTCAGGCAACCCTCGAAGAGTGCTTACACGGAGGAGCCACAGCCATGGGACGAGGCAGTTCTTTCTTTTAAAGGAAGCTCTGCGGCCCAAAATATGTTGCAGGAATGTGTTCCTCATGTGGCCCACTTCCTTGTGCCTCCTTTCTGTCACGGTGCTCCCAGAGCTCACCGAGAGCCCGGGAACTCTGCATTTCCGTCCTGCCTCCCACACTCCTTCTCCAGTGATCCTCTGGTTCCTGTTCCTGAGGACGTAAAATTGCACTGGCCCCTGAAGTGCAGCCGGGTCAGAGATAATGTCCCCCTTCCTCTCTGCAGACCCCTGTCTCCCCACGCTTACAGTTGGTCACTTAATTGTTCCCTGGTGTGCTGAGCAGCACCACGAAGCCTTCCCGCCCCCACCATGGCTCGCCTGTCTCAGGCCTGGCCGTGTGCACCCAGGGCCCCTGTTGGAATCAGGAGCTGCGAAGGCACCTCCTGAAGTCTCATCAGACGTGGGGACTTGGGAGGTCACCTGTCCAGTAAATGGCTTGCCTTCGGTTTCCCTGGCTCAGACCTTCCCCGGCGTAGGAGTGTGCTGCCCGGGGCAGACGGGCTTCCTTCTCAGCCACCTCGAGTGTAGATGCAGCTGGCTCTGTTCCAGGTTAGAAGGCAGTGCTGATTCATTCAAGGCAAATGTAAAAGCACATCCTCCTCCACTGTCAGTGACTTAGCTCAAGGAGAGCTCACTAATTCCTTTTGGCTCCTTAAACAACTCTTCAAAAGGCATGATTTAATTTAAAAGCATGTGAAGTAAATAAAAATTACTTTACACATTTATTTACTGCAGGTTTATTGAGTACTGTGCATCTCCTCTGAAGGCCCAAGTTGGAGTGCGAGGGGCACATGGTTGGGGGTGGAGGCTGCCTTTCCTCCTGCCAGCCTGGACCTGCTGCCCTGCTGCCCGACAGTGACAGGGAGCCAGGGCTGCCCTCTCCAAGAGTGTCATCCTGTTGGTGTCCCTAGTGGAGGTGGGGATTGGTAGTTCCCAGAACCGTGTGGACTAGGAACATCCCAGATTCTTCCCATGTTTTCACTGTCTCACCTTCTAAGAAGAGTAATGAAATTTTGCTGGTAGCCTTTACTATGAGGCTCCTACAATGTTTACATGAAACAGAAAGTGGCTCCCTCCATGCAAAGAGACTGTGCCTATCCAGCTCCTCCTTTAGGGCAAAAGAAGCCCCAGGACAGGAAGGCCTTTGGCTCTGCGTGGTGGTCAACACCCTGGGGACGCGTCCTCTCTGCAGGGTCAAAGCCCTGGGCAGGCTCTCGCCTGATGTCATGCAGCTGCGGCACCATATACGGCCACAGCCAAATTAAGTTAAAAACTCAATTGAAATGGATTTCTATCTTTGGACAAGAAGGAATCACATGGGGACACTCGAGCTCAAAGTAAAAGTAAATCTGAGCCTAATTCAAAATTGTCTTTTACTTACGTCCCTAGATAACCATTATCAGCTTACCCCACAGTCCCTTTGGTGTGTGTTAGCTCAAGTGTTTTGTTTCCAGAGAGCATCATTCAGTCTATACGCACCCCCAACCTCCAGCCTGTGTTCACAGAAGCCAAGTGAGTGCATCTGGAAGCTTTGCTCCTCGTTGCTACTGAAGAGGGTCACTAGTTTTGTCTTTTTGGCTGGTACCTACGGCCACACTCCACTGGTGCTGTCACGGGCACCCTGAGGAAAGGATAGACGTCAGGTTAACCCTGGTGCTCAGGTAGCTTCTTCTCCTCCCAGGTTACTGGAAAACTTGAGTTTGTTAAGGATAGGTTGTTTACTGTTTCTGGGTTGATATTCTAATCCAGACTCAAAAAAATTCTTTATTTCTCACTTATTTAATCTTGCTAACATCCTTTTCCCCTTGCTACCTGCACTCCATGAAAAAATAAACAGAAAGTAAAAAACAACCTCAAAATAGGTCCACACCTTCATACCCTCCCAGTTTGGGGCCACAACCCATTTGCCAGATAGTGACCAAACTCTAATGCATCTCGCCTATGCCATTTGGTGGACGGTTCTGGTTTTCTTCTAGAACTGGGCTTTCTTTAAGGAAAGGGGCCAGTGAAGAACATCTAGGTGTCTTGGCTTGGACTACTGTAACAGAACACCATAGACTGGGTGGCTCAAACAACAGACATTTGTTTCTCATAGCTCTGGAGGCTGGGAAGTCCAAGGTCAAGGTGCTGGCCTGCCTGGTTCCTGGTGAGGGGACTCTTCCTGGGTTGTAGACGGCTACCTTCTCACCATGTGCTCACAAGGTGGAAAGAGAGAGAGCTCTGGTCGCTTTCCTTTCTGGCGGCATCGGAAAGCCTCTCTCGTGTTGCACGTGACCCAGCCACATCATGGGGCTCCGCCCTCATGGTCTTATCTAACCCTAAGTGCCTCCCCAAGGCCTCGCCTTTAAAAATCATTACTTGGGGTTAGGGGCTAAGCATATGAATTTTGGTGGATGCAGACACTCAACCACAACACAAGGAAAATAAACCTCACTCATGATCTAATTCTCAGTTGAGCCACAGGTTCACAGATGGCTCTCATTGAAATGAGGATCAGTCTGGAGATTTACCTCATTTCCTGACCTTCTGCCCCATTGGGATCCAAGGAGGAGTCATGCTGAGGGAGAGAGAATGTGCTGGGAGCAATGGCTTTCTAGCTCTGAACCTGGGGCCAGAGCGTTGGCCTCACGCCAGGAGCCCTGGGGCTGACCACCTCCCTCCAGGGTTCTTGGTGCCTCCTAGGGAGCTGGGTGGGAATGGGGACCGGACCAGAGCGTGCATGATAAACTGGGTACAGTCCAATCTGGTAGGCCCATTAAGTGTTTTGTTGCCTGGTCCCTATGTTCTGTGCACACCAAAAAGTGGAGGCTACCTGCGTTTAGTCTCATGCCTGTCTTCCTTCTAATAATTAGTTCCATCAGATTGTTTCCTCCGAGAAAAGAGCACATGGGGATTCTAAGTCCTCAGCATTCTCTTCTTGGGGAGCTTTAATTCGTTATGCTTATGGAATCTCGCACTAAAACCCAGTGACTCAGTTAAGACATCTATCTCCTGCGAGCACAAATAAGGAAGGCTCTTCCAATTCCACATTTCCTAAGGGAAAAGAATGAAAGACACTTGAGTATTTTACTGAACTTCAGCTTTTAAAGCCAAAGGCATAAAAGAAGAATCTTTGAGGATGGGAGGTGTCGAAACTTGGGAGCTTGGGGCTTCTTCCACTGGCATTTAGCTGTTGGGCACCTGTCTTCAGTCAGGAGGCCTGAAAGGGTGCAGGCCAGCCAAGGATTGGTGTCAGAATTGACTCAGCAGGTGGCCGCTCCAGGGCTGAGCTCAGCCTCCCTTGGATGTGAGGGAGACACAGGCCTGCCTCTCCAGGTGAGTATGATTCCGTCTTTGGCTTTACCCAGAAGAGCAGTGCAGACTCCATGAGGAGTCTAATTTGAGGATTTGCATAAAAACATGTCTAGAATTGTTTTTTCTTCCAATCGTGTTATGCTGCTATTTCTAATGGTCGTCCTTTCCATCTCCCCTCCTTTCTCTTTTTTCCCTGTCTTGACATTGTGTCTTGAAAATAATACTAAAGGTTTTCTCTCCCCCACGCCCGCCTCTCCCTAAAGAGGGCCGCTTTGCATGGCAGCGCCCTGCCCTCCACAGTACCTACAAGGACTCGCTCTACCGGAGCTCACCAAAGCCTTACATCCCACCTAGCACCCCCAGCCAGCAGAACCCCGCACCCCCGCAGCCTGTCTCTGTGGCCCTGGCAGCCAGATCAGCTCCCAAAGGTGCGGTGTGCCCTGGGCCCTCACTCCCGGGTCCTGCATTCCCCAGTGCTTCATCCCAAACCCAGCAGCACCACCGTGCAGCCGCCGGGACAGTTTACAGTGGGAATGTGAGCTCTAACCCACGTCATCAGGCAGTTGGGAATAAAAAGGTCAGCAGCTTATATGTACCATGTTTATCCAGTAACATTTGCCCGGTGGCATCGGAAAGCCTCTCTCGTGTTGCACGTGACCCAGCCACAGGCACTCGAGCACCGGCTCCTAGCATTGTCTCCTGCACAGCCGGCACGGGGAAGCCACCCTCCGCTCCTCCTCACCCTCCCAAGCTATTCTTTGACCCCCGTAAAGATGCTGTTAACTCTGGCAAGAGTCCTTCCCTGGGGACTTGGCCTTCATTCCCAGACGCAGTGGGACCACCTGTGCTAGGCCCCCAGGGTACCTCTGATCCCGAAAACCGGAGGAGAAAAGAACCTTACCTTTTGCAGCCGTGTTATCCAGCCAAGGCAAGGAATTAGGAATGTTTGTGTGTCTTCTACTCCGTCTCTTTTGAAACTCACATGAGAGCTCGTTTGTTTTCTGGGCTGCCCTACCCTCCTTTCCTCGTTAATATTGCTGCAGCTTGAATCCCGAAATCTTCTCTCTAAACATCTCAGCACAGTCTCTTCTGTCTCTCCTTCTCTCTTTCCTGTAAATATGTAAGTATGCCAGTGCGCGGAATATAACGACTAACACTACGGTGAGAGATAGAGTGTTTATGTTTTATAAAAAGGTGCCAAAAAATTGTATTTACTCCCAAGCTTTCAGGCTCCAAGCGGCTTTGGGGGTTAAGCACAGCCTGCCTGCCTGTTGTCTCTCTTTCTCTCTCATAAAGTGTTAAAAGGATTCAAAAATAGATGGATGGAAAGTAAACTTGGATGGGACTCCCTCTGTGTCACAGGGAGTCAGGAGGCCAACTGGCTCGCACCGGCTGTCTCATGCACTCTGAGGAAAGGGCACCGATTAAATAGTTCTCAGAGTACATCATTGCATGTCCACTCGCAACTGTTTAAATATGGAATTCCTTCTCCCTGCTGCCATACCCCTTTACGTAACGACCCCCTTATTTCCCACAGGATGCCACTTCCTCCAGCCCAGCCCAGCCTGAGGTTATAGTTGTCCCTCTCTACCTGGTTAATACCGACAGAGGGCAAGAAGGCACTGCCAGACCTCCAGCATCTCTGGGGCCACTGGGCCCCCCAGTCCCGGCCACCGCCCCTGCTGGCTCACCTCTGACCTTCCCGACTCTAGATGATTTCATTCCCCCTCATCTGCAGAGGCGGCCCCACCACAGCCCGCCGGCCAGCGCTCCTGGCCCCCACCCCCTTGTTAGCCAGACACCACCATCCTTCTCACCACCACCTCCGCTGGTCCCCCCGGTTCCGGAGGGCCTGCACCGAGTCTCGGAGCCTGACCTCACGGGAGCTGTTTCAAGTACCGTAAGCTCGCTGGGATCCCTTCCTCACGGCTTTCCTGAATGTCTGCTCCCGGCAGTAAAAACCCCTTTCTCACTGAAGTACTAAGTTCCGAAGGAAGTGTTGGCTGCCGCTGTGCTTGCGTGATGACTGGAACCGTGTTTGCTGTCCCTAGAGTGCATGCCTCCTGTGTGTGTCCCCCGGGCTCTCCTCGCTGTCCTGTTCCAAATGCACGTCCTCCTGAAAGACCTTTGTTTTCGCTCAGAGAAAACCATCTCCGAGGCCTTGCCTCCTGCTGGTGCTGCTCGCCACAGGCCAGCAGAGGCACTGCTGAGAGCTAAGGAAAGCTGAAGAACTGCGTGGAGAAGCCAACAGCAGTTTCTCTGCCAGGGAGCAGGGGAGGAAGAGAGTCACTCTTGTGTTGACTTAGCAAGCAAACAACCCCTTTTCTACACAGCAGTGGTAGGGACTAGGTTAAAAAAAGAGTTGAATGTGATTGAGAAAATGGGTATAAAAGCCTTGTACAAATGTTAGGGCTGTTTCCTCAAAAGGCAGAATGTTGCTGGGGGCCCTGAGTAGTGGCTCCCAGCACCTTGGTGGCAACACAGCGCCTCACTAGGCCTGAAGTTGAAGGGCTCTGACACTTCAGGTCCCACAACCTGAGGGACAGGTCCACAGTGCAGGTGGAAAAGCCCAAGTGCTTTAAGGAAAAGCTCAATACAGGTACTCAGCCTGTTCCCTTCTCAGGAGCCCTGGGGATCGAGAGACTGAGAGGAACTAAGTGTGAGTTATAAAAAGGGGGTGCATGGATCTACACTCAGGGCTGTGGGGTCCAGTGGGGTGAGAGTATGAAAGTTTCAGTTATGGTCCTGGGCACAGGGGCAGCAGCACCCAACAAGTGTTAGCTATGTTACTGTGGACTTGCCCTAACAAGTGGGGGCCAGAGTCCCTCAAAACAAGTAACTGGCTAATAAACAGTCACTGAGTTCCCACCGTGTCCTAGGCATTCTGAGTTCTCTGTGCATAGCCTTGAACAAGGCCCAGCCCCTGCTCTCAGGATTTATCTGGGTGGTGTTCTCAAGCTCAGTGTACATGGGATCATCTGAGCGGCAGGAAAACTCATTTAAATTGTCAACTCCAGGTTTTGCTGCTAGAGTTCTGATTGAGTGGTCTGGAGAGGGACCTAGGACTCAGACCACTTGGTAATGTGCATCCTGGGGATTCCAACACTGAGGGCCCATGGACCACATTTTAAGATACAGGGTCATGCAGTTGGCTGATGGAACTAAACGTTCACTGACATCCCTTTGTCTAAAGAAGTATGCCTACAAAATGGGCTCAAGTGGCTCGTTAAACTCATGCAGAGTTTATGCAGAAAGTTGAGGGAAACTCTGGAGGGGTGGAGGGGGCTTTTAAGATAAATTATAGTGAGATTCAGATGCAGAGCTGAGCATGGCAACATCCTGGGCTAGAACCTCTTCTCAAAGCTCTAGATGCAGCACAGTGCAGTTAGGTCAGGACCCTGCCAAACATGGCCCAGGGCTTGGGTATCCTAGCTTCCAGCGTTGCAACTCTTCCCTGTTGGAGGAAAATGCTAGATTGTTCCCTGATGTGCTCACCTCACCCTAACTCAACTTATGGGTGAATTTAGAAGCTGCCCTTGTTTTGAAGAATACAGGTATTCTTCCCTTGGGCACGAGGTGTTTTCCTAGAGCAGCATGTCAAGCGAGTCTTGTTTTTAGCGTGCTGTGTACATTGTGAGCAGTTCTGGTCTGCACCCTGTACTTTATCATCTGTGTGGATCTCGGTGCTCGTGTTGAGTCTGTCTCAGGTGTACCAGGACAGGTTAGTTGGGACCATGTCCTCAGTTCCTCAAGCCCGACTGATCAACCTGGTATGGACTTCCTGGGAGGCTTTGGTTGGCCTGATAACTTGTAGTTTGGCCCCAGGTCACAAAGTAAGAGGCGAATAAGGAAGCTGCTTGGGTTCCCCAACTGCACGAGAATTGTCGAGAAGAGTAGACCCCCTGGGCGCGGTGGCCAAACCGCAAGTTGACATCTGCTCTGTCTGCAGCTGGCAGTAAGAGGGAAACAGAAAATTCATGTGAATTTGTCCAGGTTTTTTAGTCAATAACCATTTTCGTAACGTCCCAGAAATGACTTGTGCCCCAGAGTAAAGTTTATAAAATGCTTCATGCTTGCGTGACCCCCCCACCAGGCATCACAGGTGGTATCGACACTGTAAAAAGCCACGTGCCTGAGTTTTTGTGTTTCTTGGCTGCATTGTGGCAGAGTTTTCACTGAAAGGACCTTTATCTGTATTACATCACTTTGGAAATAAATTAGGACAGTGTAATTGTTTTCCCACTTTACAAATGAAAAATTGAGATGAAACATTTTTGTACAAGCTCACATTGTGCCATACTGGGGTCTTGGGGAAGAGTTTTATTCACTAAACTGAGCTGCCACTCATACATAACAGCTGTACATCAGGGCACTCTCAGAAGAGCTGGACTGACCCTGCCAGGGTTTTTTAGGAAGGCGGCCCTACTGTGTGTCGGGAGCTGTCCTGGGTCCTGACACTCATGTACCCTCTTGGTGGGCATGTATTCTCTTGAACTTTTGTTCTTTTGGACAAAAGTTGTTCAGAAACACCTTTGCTGGTAGGCGGCTCCTGCCATTCATGTGGCATTTACTGAGCACCTGCTGTCTGCAGGCTACTGTGCCAGGGTGGGGGTGGGGGAGGGGGAAGGAGGCATGGCTCTTGTACTGCAAGTACTTAGAGAGCGATGATCTCTGATGGGGCATGTGAATCGCTTGTGTGCCATGCTTTTATCTGGAAAGTAATGCAGTCTCGTTCTTCCGTCCCTTCAAGAATGGTATACTGGTGTTAGGGTCTATAAATTGTAAAATAAAAGTGTTGCAAAATTTGTAGGCATGATAGGAAACTGTCTACATATCCTTACTGCATTTTGAGGTCTTCATATCTTTAAAAAGACTGGCATTATTCCCATCATGCAGATTATAATGTGAGTATGTAGTAATAATTTTATTGGTATTTCTGGCAGATGCGCTTAGGTTTTTAAAAGTCAGGATTTTCACAAGTCTTTACTTCAGAGATCTTTGTCACTCGATATTGGAGGGAAAAGCACACCCCAGTAGGACAGGATACTATCTGAGTCTCAGGAGCAAGTGCTAGGAAGGTTGTTCAGCGATGTGGGTAAGAAAAGCTTTCCCAGAGTACCCACACTTAACGCTTTCTGTTCCTACGTCTATGGTTTCCTGTCCTCACATTGTCTAGTGTTTCTTTAAACACGCATACTAAACTTTCCTGATTTTTCCCAATTAAACCAGCTCTCATCCTGGGATCGTGTTTGGAATTGCATGAGTCTTGCATGTTTTTTTCTACTTTGATTTGAATTTGCTTTTTCAGTAACTGGATTGATCCACAATTGTTACCAGGTGAAAAAAATGAATGACGTTGCTGAGACTTTCGATAACTTTACCTCCCCTCTCTCCCCTTACTAATACCAACACGGAGAATAAGCATTCCAGATTAAGCTTCTAACTGGAATTAATGATGTCTCATTAATTACATTTCTTTTTATAATTAAGGTCCTTATAAAGCTATGAATTTCTTTTTAAAAAGCGGTAACTCTAGGTTTCGTGTACTGAAAGTTATGACCTTTGCTTTCTTTTCAGGATCCCAGTCCCCTGCTAGATGAAGTTTCCCCATCCCGGGCCGGCACCGACTCCCACACCTTCGCACCAGTCAGCAAGCCGTCCTCTGCCTACCCCTCCACGACAATTGTCAATCCCACGATCGTGCTCTTGCAGCACAACCGAGGTGAGGGAGCTTCGGCACGCCTCCCCCTTTGGCTCCCCATTCCGTGACATCTGGGTCCGTAATTCTGCCTTTCCGCAGAAATTTTCATGAATCTTATTCTTCCCCGAGGCCATCTGCCCCACGTTAGTCCACAGCCCACAAAGCAGATCATAGCAGACAGACCCCTGACTTGGGGTGACGTCAGGTATCGGAAAAAGTAAGCTGGTACACTGCGTGTCCCACACCTTGGATGTTCACGGTGTCTTCGGAGGTTAGCACCAAAAAGAAAGAAAAGGCAGAGAGAAGAAATTAGTGCCCCTTAATTCCTCATCATGAGAATCCTAACCAGAGCTGTGTTTGGAAAATCTAGGTCCAGTAATACCTCTTTTCAGTGATGTCCTGAATCATTTAGTTCTTTGACATCATGAGTTTTTCGAGAAAGCAAAAGTTTGAGGGCCAAAATTATAAAAAGAAAACATAGTGGATGGAATATTTTCTAAAATGTAAAACGATTTTTCGTACCTCTCAGAGGCTGTTGGACTTTTTCTTAGTGACTCACCCGCTCCATTCTTGCCAGCAGCAGCTGCCCTGCTGAGCTGCCTTTCAGCACACCCTCTGGGGACGGCAGTGGCTGTTTGCCCCCTCGCTCGGCACCCCCGATGGCTTGGCAGCGGGACTGCGTGTTTGTTCTCTGCAGTTCCTCTGGCTGCTTCTTCCCTTTTTTTGCGGGAGCATCTTAGGTGAAACAGAAGTGCTTTTAGGTAATAACTGCCTATGTCGACCCTTCTGCTTTAAAATTCCAGAAGATGATCCTAAAGCCAAATTTTTTGTTTTCAGAATTCAGTAGAAGAATAAACTTTCCCTTCCCCAAAGGCCTTTGCGATGTCAGATGTAAAGTTTCCAAACTTTCTGAGTTTCTGCGTGTAGAAAGGGCTTCCTCATCTGAATTTCTAAGAGCAGTGGAGGTTTAATTATTTTGTGCAGAGCGCAAAGCTCGGTACCCAATCTTCGTTTTCTTGACTTCCTGCTTGCCTACCTCATAGTTTCCCTCCCTTCCACCTCTCTCTCTGCATTAACTTGGATGAGGACAGGGCTGAAGTCTATTTTTAATTGTTCTCCATATTAAATGGAGCTTTCTGTTTCCTGCTTCCAACTTAAAAAACAGATGAATGGAACATTTCTCTAACTTAAAATCTTCCCACTCAAATCTTAGTTATTTTAGTAATTTTATTTTTTTTCACTGTGTGCAACTCCCATATTAATTTTCACCCATGAATCTGTGCTCTTCAAAAATAAAAAAGTATCCCAACCCCCACATCAAATTATGTAAGAGCCCATTCTGCTCTCAGCAACGGCTTTCTCCGCCCAGAAAGTGCCCGCGATGCGGGACAAAGTGGAACTTTGGTTCTCTATGAACTTCTTTATGACTCATCTTTTTAAAAAACCCAGTCAAACAGAAGCAAGTTAGTTCCCAGAAGGAAAAGCAGTTTCTCTAAAAATGGGATTCATTCCCAAGGCAACTTGGTTTTTTGGGAAATGCTGAATATAATGTCAGCCGGTCCTGCCAAGTCCCTCTGATGACACCTAGTGAGACTTCTCTGGGCCCAGGAGCACCTACGGCTCCTTTCTCTTTCTTCCCTGAACAGACGGGGTCTTCTTATCTGCCCAAATGCCTTTGGCTCTTACCTTTCTCTTTTGTCCAAGCCCTGCCCTTGAGTTTAAAAATTAGAATTGTGCAGCCTGAATCACACATCCTTCAAAAAAGGATACAAGTACATTCGTTTTTTGGAGTTAGAAGTAGCTTCCCATAAAGAGCAAACCATATGTTCCCCCGAGGAGGTGGGGCAGGAAGAGTCGAGGAGAATGGAAGCGCCTTGCTGGCCCAGCCCTGGCTTCCTGATTGTCAGTGGGGTTTAGGTCAAGTGTTTCTGGCTTTGCTTTGGAATGGACCCAGCCGGGCAGCTCTGCTTTGCCTCACAGATAATTCCCGTAAAAACAATTTCTTAACTTCGCAAAGTCTCCTGAGGGAATGATAACTTGACTTCTCTTCTGGAATTCTAGTTTAGTCATCCTGAAAAAAGGTTCCCTTTTTTCCTGCCCAGACTGACCCAGGGCACACAGTGTGATCATAACCCCATCTCTGGCAGCCAGCTCCCTGCACTGCAAACAAATGGAGAGGCGCCGCGTGTCTGGCCTGGCTCTGAGGGCCACGCACAAAGCAGCCCTTGCTCCTCTCTCCTGAGTGTCCACATTGCACATGTCTGAGCGCAGATTGCTTATGAAGGTCTGGTAGGAGGACTCGAATCAGAAAACTCTCGGGACTGAAAGAGATGCATGAGTCCCCTGGCTCAGCTTATGTATGGATTGATTGATTGACTGATTTGAGGGAGAGAGAGACATTGATTTGTTTCACTTATGTATGCATTCATTTATTGATTCTTGTGTGTACCCTGACCAGAGATCAAACCACAGCCTCAGTGGATCAGGATGATGCTCTGACCAACTGAGCTACCCGGCCAGGGCAAAGCTTCTTGGTCTTTATTGTGCCTGGAGTCTTGCGGGTCTTCTTAACTTGCAGATTCAGACTCAGGCAATCTGAGGCAGGGATGAGATTCTGCATTTTTCAGCAACTCGCAGGGTGTGTCAGTGCTGCTGGTCCATGGGCCGCACTGGAGAGCCAGAGCTCAGTGGTTCCCACACTCTTGTCACATGAAACAGTCTGGGGACCATGCCAGGGCTGCTAATTTCTCACTCTGCTAAATAACACCCCTGAAAAAAATTGGTATTATAACATCACATGTCATTCCAAGAAAGAAAGGCCATGCCACAGCTCAGAAGTAGGAACCACATCATGTTTTAAATTGAATAAATTTGCTTTTGCCTGCTGGGGAAGACCTTGCCCCTCTTGGCTTGGAGACCAGAGTTCCGGATGCATGGACCCAGTGAGCACTTTGAATCAACAGATGAGGGAACTGAGGGAGAGACTGAGGAAACTGAGGTTCCATGATTGGTCATGTCATCTGGCATGTGGCTGGCAAAGCTGAGCCTCGAGCTCTGCTGGGATCCTGTTGACCAGCCAGTGCCAGTGAGCCTCGTCCATGGGTGAGAGGTGGACAGGGCTGCTTCCACCAGCTGGGAGCTCCCCTGCTGCTCCGTTTCCTTCTTGCCCACACTGATTCTGGAGGGAGGGTGGGACACAGCCAAAGGGAATGATGATAGTACCCATGAGCTGGCAAGCATTCTATTTTTATCTATGTGGCTGCTTTATATTTAGCGGCTATGGAAGGTAGAGGTCATTTTTGTGCTCATGCCATAGCACGTACACACAGAACTCTCCAAAGGAGAGTTTGGCCTCCCTGCCTCTCGAGTACCTCGGAGGGTGAGATACCCGTAGGCCTCACTGTTAAGGAATGGGGGCCTGGTGATTAGAGCTGGACAGAACCCTAGAGTAGAAGATAAGGGGATTCCAGGTTTTAGACCCAGCTCTGGTTTTCAGTGTCATCTTAAGTAGTTTGCATCCCTAGCTGAAAGTGTCTCCACCATCCTGACCTACCCACTAGGGCTATTGTGAAGATTAAATGCATTATCCTGTGTGAAAGCTCTTAGAACAGTGTTTGGCATTTCACAAGCACTCAGGGAACAGTAGCTGATGTGGTTATGGTTATAACTACTTTCCCTCAAAAGGTACCAAGACTGGGGTTGTATAAACTCCTGCTCCCTTGAAACCAGTGGAGTTGGGTTAGGGTCTCCTTTGGGGATCAGATTATCTTCAGACAAGATGTAAGCAACCAGAAACCAGTGACAGTCCCCTGAATCCTGTGAAGATCTAGGAGCAGGGGGATGAGATGACAGGAGCCATATTAACACCCCTGTATTCACTGGACACGTGGTATTTTCACATCTAAGCCCGAGGACAGCGAGGACACAGATCCTGCGGTCCTAATGCGTTAGGGTGGGACTTCTCGGTCTTACCGTGTCTTTGTAAATCTCACACTGTGTATTTTTTTTTTATCACAGAACAGCAGAAACGACTCAGTAGCCTTTCAGGTAGGTGAGAAATATTTCTTTTCATGTTAATATCTGTCCCTGTTGAAGCTGGCTTCTGCTCACCACCTGAGGTCCGCTCAGCGCTGCCTTATGAGCTCTTCTGAGGTGCTAGGGACTCTGTTGCTGGACAGCAAGGATGGTGACAGCTGGCACGGCAGCTTGCAGGCTGGTGGGGGCAGACCAGACAGGTGGACCCAACTAGTAAATGTCTCCCGTGAACCGTGATACATGCCTTGCTTGGTAAAAACAAGATATCCTGATTAAAAAGAACAAGACATTACATTTTAGATGGAGTGTGTTCATGGCAGGCCTTGCTGAGGAAGTCACCTTTCTGTTGCTTCTGTCCCTCTTCTAGGACGTGATGGGTTGGGAGGTGGGAAACATGGGAAAGTTCTCTTCATTTTGAATGGCAAGCCCAGATGCCACCAGGTGATTTGGGGATGATGGACCCAGGTGAGAGCCTCCGGACATGCAGTGCCTGAAAGAGTGCATGTGAGCTCGGCTCCTTGAACTTGAGCTGGCATCAGAATTTCCTGGGCAGCTGGTCAAAGCTTAGGCTGCACATGCAGAGATTTGGACTGAATGAGTGTAGGGAAGAATGTGCATTTCTAACCAGCTGCCAGGCAATGCTGATGCTGACCTCTATACTGACCACACTTGAGTAGCAAGCATCATCAGTAGGCAGCCGTGGTGGGGAGTGACTACAAATACAGTAGGATACCCAGGCTCACTCCCTGATAACATGTGCAGGACTGGTAGCAGTTGCCCATGTAGGCTGCAACTGAGGAAACCCAGGAATGGGAATGTTTAGCCATTTCCTCCTGGCTTTCTGTAGCTATTTAGCTTTGAATCCTGGTTCTACCACTTACTGATGTGCAACTGTAGGCAGGTTACTCCTGATCTCAACTACAGATCAGTTTCTCATCTGTCAGACGTTCTGCTTATAAACAGCTCAGCACTGAGCGATGGCATTCACAAAGTGCTTGCTGGGCGGGAGTCCCTGTTTTCCATAGGTGCCTCCACTGATTCACGCATCCTATTACTGAATGTCTACTTTGTGTTGAGCATGGAGCCAGGCTCTGGAGCCTTGTCAGGGAGGTGTGCTGCCCTCAGGCAGCTGGTGCTGGGACGGTATGTGACCTTGAGTTGGTCATGGACCATTTGGGAAATCTAGTGAAGACAGCGAGTAGATTCATTCCCTAGAAAAAGCCACACGTGTGGAAATACACGCTCGTGGTGGGTGTGCAGAGACCCTTGAACTCTGGGGTTCAGAGCCCCTGGTTTGGTGGGTAACAAAGACTGCCATTTTCTGAGCTGTTGCCCCGTGATTTTTGTGTCACTGCATCCCTCTGCTGTCCTTGTGATTCATGGAAAGCCCGGGTGGGGAGGACATGGGGTTCTCACACCCTCTCAGCTTTATCGGGACTTGGCTGTGGAGCCAGGACAGGCTGTGGCTGAGCACAAGGTGCCCTTTGCTGCCCCCTCCCCAAGGGGCCACGCTCCGGTCCACTTTATCTATGGCCCCAGCCCAGGTTGCTAAGGGCAGGGTGGCTCAGGAAGAGAGGTAGCTCCTCTGGGCTCCTCCCTGCCTTTGGGTGTTTGAAAGGAGCAGTGGAATAGAGTTTTTAAAAGGCACCCACACACAAAAGTTAAACCCAGAGTTTGGTCCTGGCTCGTCCCTCTCACAGCTGTTTGCCCCTGTTACCTCTCTGAGCCAGGTTCCTCATGTGGGAAGTGGGGATGACAGTCCTTGCTCCTGCCTCAAAGAAGTGTTGCAAGTGAGGATGGTGTGCGACAGGAAGCTCCGAGCTACTCGTTGCTCCCTGGAAGTGCTGTGACAAAGGCTGGCCTCTCTACCGTGCCTCCAGGCTCAGGCCACTCCCCAGGATCTGAAAGAAGCCTCGTGCTCTGTCCTCTTCAAGTTTTGGGACAGATCCACGCCTGGTGTTTGATAGAGTGGCACATAAATAGCTCACTGAGTGTTTGTTTTTGTTTAAAAAGAAGCACCATTTTGTTCAGAAAGCTCCTGAAGGAGAGAGGGCTGGCTGGGCTGGCACTGCATCCTGTGCCCGGGAGTGAGGGAGGCTCTGCCCATCACACATGTGCTGATGGGACTTGGAAGAGCCGCCAGCCTCCCGCCCGTTAACCGATTTGTGCCGAGTCTCTGGGGCTTCATGCTCAGCGAGATTCTCACGGGCCATGCCGCCCTCCCCGAGGGAGGTGTCAGCACTGCTGTAACCCTCAATCACAAAGCTTGGGGTGAAGAAAAGGCGAGCTTTCCCAGCCCCCACGAACACGGAGGTCCTGTCTCAGGTTGTCACGCTATTATTTACTTAGTGGCTCCTTCCAGGACCTTGCTTTTGAACACAGTATAAAATTAGATGGAAGTGCTCCAAGATGTCATGTGAGGGACCTGTATTTGCCTGATGAGAAATAGCAGCAAGCCCTCATTGTTACACATATGTCAGAAGGGTGGCCCTGTCACCTGTGTGGCACAGTGAAGTGTCACTTTGGGTTTTCACTGTATAAAGAAACTGTTTTTCTTCAGGGTCTGCTGTGCAGCTGTCCACATATTGAAATCCACTCAATCATAAATCACATGATCACAAGCTTCTAAAGTAAGATCATTCGGGGCTAATTTTTGTAGATCAAACAGACTCTGGCAGCTTTGGAATAAATCCATGGACTATTAGCCCAAGTTTTAAGTAATTGTTGTTAGAGCCACCTGCCATAAAAAATATTTTCAAAAATTCTCTGGACCCCCAACCCTGAGAATGGCATATCTGTGATTTTCCTCTTCTTCTAAAGAAATGGCCTTGAAGAAGAGGAGTGTGAGCGCCTCCCAGTACCAGGTGAGACAGCTTGAAGTCGTGACCACACTAAGGAAGGCCTTTCCAGTGGGAGGAGAATGCCCAGCAGAGCCATTTTAAGGGTGGGCTCTGCTAACTTGAGATCCCTCTGCATGCCCCATGCTTCCTGCTAAATCCTGGGCCTCCTGTTAGACTTTCCTGGGAGCATGAGAACTCATCCCGTGAAACCCGTCTGGTCTCAACGTCCTGTAGAACTCATGGTGATGCCTTCCAGGATCGGGCTTTCTGCAGGACTCCCTGAGCCAAGTCTCCTGCAGAATGTTTAGAAATCATTCTGTGGCCACAGAATGAATCCTCATTTCAGTGGTCAGTTTCAAATCTAGGCAGAGTTGCCACACAGCGCAGACTGAAAGTCGTGAAACCTGAGGGCACACCCATCAGTGTTTCCCCACTGGGGGCAGCCCCTCCTCCACACACGGACATCTCTGACTTCAGTACAACTTTGTACATAGCCTCGAGTTCCTCCTTTTTGCCAAAATTTAGTCCTTCAGCCAGTACTCTGCACCCGTTCCTCTCTCAAAGATGAGGACCCCCTCCTCAGTCCATGAGCAGGTGCTTACCGAGTGAGCAGTTGTCATTGCCAGGGCACACCTCCATCCTCTTGGTCTCACCCAGGGCCTCACTGATAGGACATAGTCTTCCCCGGCTTAGACCTTTTTGCCCCCCTAATCCTGTGACCTCTCTGGTTGCTCTATTTCTTCCATGCCCATTTCCCTGCTTGCTAACCCACTTGCTGCTTATATATTCATTTCTTTCCCTGCGGCCTGGCATCTGCCCCCACTGCCCTCCTGAAATTTCTCCCTCAGAGCGATCCCGTGACTCTAGCTTCATTTCTGTTTTTGGCTGTTTTTTGTTTTTTGACATATTTAACCATGCACTGTTTGGATTCAGTCTTCTCTGGTTTTAGGGACACCTCACTCCGCCCTTCCAGGTCATCTCCTGTCCCTCTAACGAGTCCTGCCTCGTTGGGGGAGCCTTTGTTTTTTCAACCTGTGACTGTGACATCCCTCAGTGCATGACTTCAGCCCTTGACTCTGTCCGGTTTACCTCCCCCACCGAGCCCCTCCATCTCCTTGACCTCAGCCATCGCTTTTGTGCTGATGGCTCCAAAATTGCCCTTCTGCTGGGGCCTCTCACCTGGGCTCCGCTCCCACATTTCTTCTAGGGGTTTCTATGGCATTTCTACTTGAACATCTCGCTGTCACCTCAAAGTTACCATGTCTAAATGGAAGAGGCCATTTCTCCCTGCCTTCCCCAACCCAGGTCCCTTTTCTTTGCATGGGAATGCATAGCACCTGGCAGGTGCTCAGTAACACTTTACCATAAATAAATGACATGGCTTGGAATAACAGGTTAAATTAAGCAATTTTATAATCTGTGGACTGCATGGGGTATGTTATCAGCTCTGTAAGTTCCAACCATGAATCAAATGTAAAATATTCTAATGTTCACTTAGCCATTTACAGCTTTCTGAGCACTTTGGCATAAGTTATCTTGGTGGGTCCTCTCAGAACATCTCTGTGAGCTGGCCAGCGGAAGTGTTATCCTCATTTTGGAAGAGAAAGGAGAGGCACAGAAAAGTTAGGTGGCTGCCCCAAGATGAAACAAGGACTTTTGAGAAATGTTGGCCATCTCTTTAAGGTTTTACCTGTTCCCTGACAGCTGGAACTACTGGGGTGTCTGGAGCGCTGAGTGTATCCCTCTGCAGATTTTTTTTTTCATGGCCAGATGGTAAATATTTCAGGCTTCACAGGCCATACGGTTTCTGTCTCAGTCACTCAACTTTGCCACCTTGGCTTGAAAGCAGCCATAAATAATATGTAAGTGAAGGGGTGTGACTGTATTCCAATAAAAGTTTATTTATAAAAACAGGTGGCTGGGCCCAGTTTGCTGACCCTTGCTCTACGTGAAACTCATTCCAGTTGTGAATTAGCAAACACACTTCCCCCCAACTGGGATTTTTTTTTTTTTTGGCTTTGGAGCCACCAGAAGAGCTTCAGCTAATGATTGTTTTTCACTTCCAGATACTGCGTCCGAAAGGAGAGTGGGAGAACGGGACTCGGCGCCGGCCCAGGAAAAACCCACCTCCGCTGGCAGGACTACTGAGAAAAAGGCCAAGGATGACAGCAGGCGGGTGGTTAAGAGCACTCAGGACCTAAGCGATGTGTCCATGGACGAAGTGGGCATCCCACTCCGGGTATGAATCCTGACCAAGGAGTCCTTCTTAGGCTTCCTCTTAAGCCAGTGACAGGCACACACGCCTGAGTGCCTGTGGACACCCCTGTGGGTTGCAAAAGCATCTTAAGGAGGGTCCTCACCTCTGTCCACCTTCCAAGCCCACTGAGGGCCTCAGAGCCTCAAAGTGCTGTGCTCCAGTCTCCCAAGCCCGCCTTGGTCCTGGGCTCAGTATGCAGCAGCTTTCCCCAAAGCATGGGTGAGGTGTTACTCAGTCTCGTGTGGAAAAGGATTTCATGGTGGAATAAACGTGAAGGAAAGCTGGGTGGAACAAAGGCAGTGAGCTTTCTCTGCAGCAGACCTTCTGAGAGGCTTTGGGCACGTGCGAGTTCAAGGGGAGGATGTCATGGGCAGTTTCCCAGTCTGCCCCCTTCATGGACACATTATTTACTGTTCCATGGAGCAGATTCGGAAATTGTCAGTCTAGGGTTAGAGGACCCCGGGGTGAGTGAGGCTCTGGGTCCCTGTTCACGGGTTCCGGGAGAAATTCCCCTGGATGGGATCTAGCCCATCACCCAAAGTGAGAAGGAAACTCGAAGGCAACCACGGAATGGATTCAGCCTGCCGAGGCCTCCAGAACAGAGTGGGTCTCGGGTGGCCCTGCCCGGCCCTCCCCCCCGTACAGGTATGCCAGTCTCCTGCAGGCCCTTAGGGACTCTAGGCAAGCCCAGCTTTTGACACTAGATTAGGGTGAATCTCGTTCCTCTCCAGGTGCCCACCAGAACACTGGTTGAAATGTGTTTCTCTGTGATGTCCATTGAGCTAATAGACAGGTTTCTGGGTCCCTTTGGAGAAGGCCAATAGAAAGAGCAGTGGACTACATCTCAAAAGAACTGTTGTCTGGTCCTATGGAATAATAACTGTAAAATAATAACAATGAGAATGAGAATTATTACTCGTAGTTATCACAGCTACCATTTGCCAAGTGCATTATCTCATTTAAACATCTTTCACTCTATGTGGTGGATACGAATGTTATTCCCATTTTACAGATGAGGAAGCAGGGACTGAGAGAGCTTACAACACTTGCCTAGGACTGCGTAATTTGTGGGCGATAGAGCAGCCTGTCTGAACCCACACCCATCGTGTCAGGCAGCCCTTCCACTCGTCTTCTCAGCAGCTCTTGGACTTCGGGCAGCTGTGATGCATTTTTCCTCCTCTGTAAAGTGGGAGTGACAATATCTGATCTAACCACCTATCCCCTTCCTTGTTTTATTTTTATCTTAAAAAAAAAAAGCCGAGTTATTAGGATGACAGCTCTCTGGCATTGGTGCTCCACTGGGCTACATTGGAAGGTGTGCATTCTAAGTCTGGCCCAGCGCGAGGAGGCTTCGGCACAGTGAAGGGCAACCTGATAAGCCCATGTTCTTTGTCTCACACATGCTTCAAGGGGGGGGGGGTACTTCAGTTTAGTCATCTGTATATGGAAAGAGATTCTCTCTAAAAATGAAAATTTTTAAAGTTTATATAAAAATGGACAGTTTTAAGTGGATCTTCACAGTTTTCAAAATCTATGGCCTTTTGGCCAAATGTTACTCTGCAGATTCATGTCTGGATTCCTTGGTTTATATTTCTCAAAAGTTTTGAATTTCTTATTTTTTTTATTAGTTACAGAGCCAGCTTTTTAAAAATATTTTATTTATTTACTCTTAGAGAAAGGGGAAGGCAGGGAGAAAGGAAGGGAGAGAAACATCAATGTGCAAGAGATTCAATCAGTTGCTTCTTGCACGCCCCCAGCTAGGAACCTGGCCCACAACCCAGGCATGCGCCCTGACCAGGAATTGAACTGGCGACCTTTTGGTTCACAGGCCGGTGCTCAGTCCACCGAACTGCACCAGCCAGGGCAGTTTTGCATTTTTGTAAAAAGATTTAAATGTGGAATCACAAAGATGTATAGAATTACATGAGTTTATACTTGAGATGTTGTCACTTTCCATTTTGATTTTGTAATCGTAGAAGTTCTAAAACATACAAAGATTTCCATTTCATTTTATTCTTTGCCTTTGTTTTTCTCCAGAACACCGAGAGATCGAAAGACTGGTACAAGACCATGTTTAAACAGATCCACAAACTAAACAGAGGTACTGGTTTGCTTTTGTAGAAGCTCTGCTGTGCTCGTATGTTGACTGTTGTGGTGAGGGCCTAAACTCACTTCTCTCGGGTGCCAGGAGCCTGCCTCTGCACTTGACCTCATTAAGCACCAGCCTGCCTGAGCCCAGCTAGACACCTTCAAAGCTGAGGAAGGAGGGGGCACTTGTGCGCCTGCCTCAGATGTGGGATTTGAGGTCAGCTCAGAAGTCCTCCCTCCCAGATGTTGTGGGATGCAACAGGCTGAGCCCAGCCCCCTCCCTGCGCTCTGGCATCTGCCTGCCTGGGATGCAAGCAGCCCAACTCCCACCTGCTTCCAGCTTTAGGTGCACCTCCCTGTGTCAGCCCATGATTGCCTTGTAGGCAGAGCAAGGTGAGAAAGCCCTGAACTGGGAGTTAAAAACTCCTCACCTGGGTTCAGTCCCCCAGGACTCATGTGACCTTGGACCAATCATATACCTCTTTGTGTTTGTCCCACTTCCCTTCCTCCAAGGGATGTTGCAGGGTGCAAAAGAGAGCAAATCCTGCCTTGTGAAGTAGCATGCCTGGTATGCCTGTAAGGTGGTGTTAATATGAAAAATAATCTCCCCCACCTGGGAGCCAGTCCTTGGCAGGTAGCCCTGCAAATCAGTCAAGAGCTGACACACCAAAGCCTGCTCAAGCTGGAAGAGAAATGCTTCCAAGTCAGGGGCCTGCTGGGTGGCAGCAGGTGACCCAGCATGGTGGGAGAACCCCAGGCTAGCACTTGGGCAAGTCATGAGCCCACAGCTCCCATCCACCTGTGCCGCCAGTCAACTGATAGGCAGGGACACAGCTGCACCATGGGAAGTCCCACTTCTCCTGCGGGCAGAGCATCCTCCCCTGTGGCCAAATCCAGTCTGGCTGCCTGGCACAGATGACACATGAAGGCAAAGAAAAAACGTTCTGGTCAGTGCTGGCCTAAGTCACCAATAACGAATCTCTCTGATTACGGTGGATGCCAGCTAACGTCGCTGTTAATTAGCTCCTGCAGTGCTCAGAATGGACCTGGCTGTGCCCCCTCTTCACACTCTTCTAAATATCAAGATGCTCATTTGTGTTCATGTCTCTGAGCCAGGAGTAAGTCTGCTGTCATTGGGCAGATGAGCTCAGTCATGGTGGTGATGCTAAAGCCTGGGTCTCTGATGGGATGGCGTTAGTTCCACTGGTCACTGCCTAAAGCCAGTGTCCATTTCCTGCACCCACCTGTGTCTCACCTTTAGACCCAGCTCTGGCAGCCCAGGTGCTGAGACACAGGTACACATATGAAAAATATATAATTCTGCCTGTAGGCAGTGTGGGTCCTCTCCTGTGTCACAGCTGTTAACAGCCTAAATCACAGGTCCTCGACGAAACCACCTGCCTTAGTGGTAGGCAGAGGAACCCATTTGTTTTCCTTGATTCTCACGTCCATGGTACAAGGTTTGATTTATTTTTTAAAAAAACATTTTATCATAGTGTTTTCATTACATACTATTTCTTAGCATAATTAATATTTTTGCCTATCAAAGGTAAAAACTTGAAGCTTTGTGCTAATGCCTTTTGCTTACTAGAGCCTGTGTGTATATATATATATGATTCTTTAAGAAGAGAAATGATATTGTCTCTTTAGATGTGTCTCAGTACTTCAGGCAAAAGGACTGGATTTTTAAAAGCCATTTTAACTTCTTTCATGTCGCTAGTGAAGCTTGGTATGTTCCAGAATTCAAGGAGCCTGACTTGTGTGTGGATTCCTATTCGTTCATTCTCTCCATTTGTATCTTCCTCTATTCTCTCTCCCAAACCTGCTCCTCTGCCTAGACACTCCTGAAGAAAACCCTTATTTCCCTACGTACAAATTCCCTGAACTTCCTGAAAGCCAGCAAAATTCTGAAGGTACCATAAACTTAGACAGTGTGTCTGTTGTCCTAGCCTTAAATTAATTCCTATAATTCCATTGTAGGAATGAGATTCGGCCTTTAGATTTTGTTTTTGTAGTTGTTTTTGGTTGGTGAACATTTTATTTCACTCATCTGCATGATGTGCTACATTAAAATAACTAAGGCCTTTCTAGTGCATTAACCTGTTTTTAAATTCAGTGCCTGTGTGCTTTAATAACACTAAAATAGGTGATCAGTCATTCAAAGAGTCAGTTGGGGATTTGTCAGTTCCTCCACTTCATGGTGGGTAGTTTCAAAATCCACTGCTTTTCTCTGCTGCAGAGGACAGTCCTTACACTCCCACCTACCAGTTTCCTGCATCTACTCCTAGTCCTAAATCGGAAGGTAATTAAAGGGAAATCACGTGCCGCTCCTTGTACCCGTGCTGTTACTTTCTTTTTTACCTTGGGTTTTCTCTCTGGTGGCTAAGGGCCGTCTCCCAATCTTTTGCTTCCCTCTAACCTCGTGCTGTGTGGTGTTGTCTTGCTCCTCTCTGACTATGTAACCAGTGTCTGTCCAGATGGTGTTTTAATCCTATTCCCTTGGAGTCACAGGATTAATGGGGTAGTCAGTGAAGCTTAGTTATGATGCTGTGAACATGTGGGGCTCTGGGAAAAGCTGCCCATATCCAACCAACCAGGGCTTTATGTTGGGCGCACTCGCAAAGTATTGGTGGCTGGACAGTGACTCTGGGAAGCTGAGTCATTATGGCTGGTGAGCAGAAGGTTGACATGCCATCTGTCAGCAACAGAAAAGTTACCCGGTCCCCACATGTGCAACTGGCTCATCACTGGGCCCCTCTTGTCGTGGACCCTCAAGGTGTATCTGCTTGGTAGGGAATTCCCAAAGAGGTATCCAGGCATGAGATTCAGTCATGGTGGGAAATGATATTTCTTGAAAATAGAGTTTTTGGTCAAGTTAGAAAATATTTCCTGAAAGAGCCAGCTTAGGAATTTGGATGTGCTGGGGAGGATAGCCACATTTATATCTAAGAGATTCTTCACTAGGGCAAAAAATCTAGGTGTCAAAGAAGGTTCTAATAGGCAAGTTAAGGAGTTAAAGGCAACATCCCAAGAATTATTCTAATTCCAAGATTGCCCAGTCTTTGGATGAGTGGTCCAGAAAGAGGAGAGAATCCATGGGATACGCAGGGCAAGTTTTCATTAACTGCTCTTCTAGGAGGACGTGTTGAGTGCTCTGAACTTCACTCAGGCAGTACTGAGCACTCGCGTGTGCCGTACACTGTCCTCGCAACTGAGGCTAGTGCCATGACTAAGATCTGTCCTCTGTTCTCAGAAATCCACATCTGGCAGGGAATCAGTTGGGACCACTTCATCATACTCTATCCAGTGTGGTGGCTGTTGCAAAAGCATGTGTCCAGAAGGCCAAAGAAAACCTTGCTGGCACTCAGCAGGTCCTTAGCACACACCTGGAGGATGTTGATGAGTGAGGGCTTTGGACCATAGAATTGGAGTTGTTTTCTAGGACAAGCCCAGGGCTACCACCACTGTTCTTCTCTGCTCTAATGAGGCCAGCAAACCATCCTGCACAGCCTTTCTCATCACTGCTAGAGTTGTCCATTCGATCATTCACTACACTTTTACCCATCACTTAGTGTATATGAGATGACACACGGGCATGTGTTAGTTTTAGTTAAAATACCTTATTTCCTTTTCGGTCTCCTTGTTAGTCTTTGGTTTCCAATCATTTCATGCCTGGGGCCTATTTTGAATGAAAAGAAAAGTCTACTGTACAAACACAGACTTAAAAATTAAAAGCTGAGAATTTAATTTTAATCGATGACCTCCTCACTGCCACCAAGGGCCTTCTTGGTCTGAGACAGCCTAGTCTTTTTTATCTTGGAGTGCTGATTCTACCCCAAAAGCATTGCTTAAGAAACAATTGACCGAGGACAAGGGAATTTTTTCCAGACAACTTTAACTAAATGCCGTTCTTGATTTTTGCTTTATTGGGACCTGGGAACCCAGCCCACTCCATAAGATAAGGTTCTCTTCTATGACCAGTGCACACCATGCCCGAAGGCATGTTATCCTGTAGACACAGGCAGACGAAGGGCACCTGCGGGAGTCCTGGGGAGCAGAACAGTGGCGCCCACTGGACTGGAAAAATGCCATAGGCACGTCACAGACAGTGCCAGCAGATGTCACAGTCAGCCGGGCTGTTGATCTGAAGACAGGGCTTCACGGCTTCACACCCAGAGCTGCCACACTGTCCGCTGCCACACCTAGCGACCCACAGTGATGGTGATGGCTGCCTTTTGGTTTACATCAACTCAGGCACAAGCCGCAACGTGGGCTGTTTTGCCTAAAGTTATAAATGAAAATCAGTGACATAATAACTTTTCACCTATAATTTAGGGAGTAGACCTTATTTTTTCCCCCAAAGACCAAAAAGGAAGAAATAGTCTTAAAGGACAAAAGGAAAAAAATTAGATTGGACATGAAAAATTCATAATATCCAATATAATTAAACTTTAACACACGTTTCTAAGAAGTCTTCTTCCCTGGAGATCTTTTAAAAATAGGGTAGATGTCATCTCTTGCCCACATTTCTGCCGAGATGACAGATGCATTCAATTAGATGAGGGCTTTTTACAAGTGAGTGAAACGTTTGAACTAGATCACTTTAAAGAATTGTTATTTTGATTTTAAATTTTTTTAACTATTAAGAGAGTCTCTGGCTTGTGGTTTTGACGTCTGTGAGTTCCAGCAGGTCCTCCTCAGCCCTGTCCTTGGTGCGGCGCCAGGCCTGTGCTCCTGATGGGGGGCCCTGGGCTTTGTAGGCAGGTCTGTCTTTCTTTCTCTTTCCTTCTTTCCTTCTTTCCTTCTTTCCTTCTTTCCTTCTTTCCTTCTTTCCTTCTTTCTTTCTTTCTTTCTTTCTTTCTTTCTTTCTTTCTTTCCCTTCCTCCCTCCCTTCCTCCCTCCCTTCCTCCCTCCCTCCCTCCCTCCCTTTCTTCCTTCCTTCCTTCCTTCCTTCCTTCCTTCCTTCCTTCCTTCCTTCCTTCCTTCCCTCACATAAGGATATGTTCATTGATT